GTAGATCACCTTTACTGTCCTGTCTAGGAGTCTGTCTGAGTAAGAACTACTCACTCTCTTACCTATCTCTCTATTCTTCACACACTCGTCGAGTGGCATGGGAAGTAGCGAGGAAAGGAGGCAGAGACGTAGTTTAGCAAGAATACTCGTCATGCCCATCGCTCCCAGTTTTGTCGGTTTTTTGCGCGTATGTAAAAGGACTGGCAATATGAACACGAGTGGCCGGCCACACAATCGCGCGAACGCAGTTCGAATAGAGCGCTCGCTACGGAAGCGTACTTAGTAAAAAAAAAAAACAAAAAAAAACATTGCTATGAATAGATGTCATCCACAATCTCCTTTGGCGAGGACGACGACGTATATTTCTTTTTTATGATATAATGAGCTATACTAAATATGCATATAGCACGCATGCCACCACAGTTTCAACAAACATTGTGTTGCAAACGCGAGCGACCTAGTGCGAGGCGTCGCGATTAATTGAGCGAGTAGAACAGTGTGTGGGTAGAGAGGACAACATCGCGGCAGCACGAGGAGCATAGTGTGTGGAGGCTGGAAGTTATACAGGCCCCATGTCTACCTTTAATGACTTAAGGGTAGACATGGGACCTGTATAATTTAAGGCTGTGAGGAATTTCATCTTAGTCCTTAGAAGTGACAGTTCATCTGTAGCATTTTTTGTTTGAAATTGGTCGCAGGTAACCATAGGCTGCAGTAGCCACTTACCACCTAGTAGACCGTAATTACATCTGTTACTTTAATTTTATAAAAAGAAGAAGCAACTAATGAGGGCATCCACTTTCTCTGCTTCACTTTGGAATATGTGACAGATTTAATGACGGGGAAGTTAATTTGATAGGTAATTTAAAATTAAAAATTTGTACAACCGACTTCAATATAAATTATTAAGAATAACTCAAAAACTATTGTCAAACCTTGATCAAATTTATATGGAACCACATGAAAAGCACCAGCTTTTAAATAAAAAAAGAATCATCGAAATCGATTCACCCAGAAAAAAGTTTTGAGGTAACACACATAGAAAAAGAAAACATACAGTCGAATTGAGTATCGTCTCCTTTTTGAAGTCGGTAAAACAGTAGAGATTAATGTTGTTTTTCTGAAATATTAGTTGCATTTTAAATTAGACACATATTAGATTAGAAATTGATAAACCAACTAAAAAGTTAAAAATGAGTAAAAAAAAATACTACAACACTGAGACATTGTTTTGTGTAATATACGTAAACTATAAACCGAAAAACTTTTATTTAAAACCCAACTTTTCAATGATGATGACACTTCGTAACCATTGCTTGACAAATAAGTTTACCTCAGTTCCAACTAGCGACATCTGCTGAGCTTAAGATTATTAACCCTAATCTGAGCCGAACACGATCTCCAGTAGTGAATTTTTAGGGGCTGATGAAAAAGAAAAATATGCCAGATTTGAAACTATGGATTACAATGCATGGTCCTACATCACCTGCATCCATCGACTCCCTGCGTCTTTCAGGTCATCAGTCGATCTAGTAGAGGGTCTTTTAACACTGCACTTACCAGTACCTACTCGAGAACTTTGCTTCCCCAGCGGTTACCGATTATTCGAACTATATGTCCCGCCCATTTTCATGAGTTTCACATTGTACAGATCCGCTGTGTTTTGTCAGTTACTCTGGTTCTACTGCGAAAAATCCGAGCATATCCCTCCATAGCCAGATGTGTAATCTTACGTTTCCTCATATGGCCATTACTGATAAGTGGAAACATGCTGTGGCGGCGCTGTCGACGCGCCACAAGCGAAACACATCGAAACCTAAATAGCGCTAACAAAGTTCCGAAGTTAAAGCAGTATATATAGAATAGCTCCGAACTACCACTTGAACCTGAAGGATCGTACCTTTCGTTTTAGACACGAAGGCACGCTGTCCTCTCAGCGCCCCATCAAAGCTGGTGTCCCTCAGGGCTCAGTACTTGCTCCTCTCCTGTACATCCTGTTCACCAACGACATTTCCATCCCGTCGAAAGGTGTCCAGCTCTTCCTCTTCGCAGACTACACTGCCCTCTATTGTAAAGGTATCTCGCTACCTTTCATACGGAACAAGATCCAAAAGTCAGTTGATGACCTAGGAGCTTGGTTCCAAAAATGGCGCATCGATGTGAACCCGGAGAAGAGCTCCGCCGTTCACTTCGATTATAAACGACGCCGCCTCAAAAACACTGCACCAATACGTATGCTAGGGACCCCTGTCCCCTGGCATACGTCTGTCAAATATTTAGGCGTAACCCTTCACACGAGGCTCACCTTCGGGCCCCAAGTCAAAAGAGTAATCCGTCACACACGTTTTTATCTGAGTAGGCTCAACAGTATGCTGGGCCGACACAGTGAAATGTCCCTCCGAAACAAGCGAACCCTTTATAAGGTCTGTATACGACCAGTCATGTCTTACGCGGGCCCTATATTTGCTCACGCTGACTCCAGTCATTAATGAACTCTAAATAGTTCAAACTCTTCTGTCGTCGAGCTACGAACACACCCTGGTACGTTCGTAGCGCCAACCTCCATCGGGACTTAGAGCTCCCTACAATTCAACAATTTCTTAAAACACTTGTTAACGTGGTAGAGCCATGCTGCAGTTATATTAGTAGTATAGTTGTAGCACGAATGGGTCGGCTCGACCGGGGAAGGACCACGCTCTCACAGAAAACCAGCGTAAAATAGCAGCTTAACGCTGCTGTTTCGTATGGTGAGTGTAGAGAACCGGAGACCCTTTTTACTGGCAAAGAGGCATTCCATCTTAGTCCTCACGGGTGACAGCGCATCTGCATCTTGAGTCTTTATTGAGGATAGATGTAGATGTCTATGGGTCACAGTAACCACTTACCATTAGGTGGACTGTGCTCGTTTGTCACCCTATCCTATAAAAAAAAACACTCTCTGAGAACTTCTTCAAAGCCTCAGTCTCACTCCAATCAATTCATTCGTGAGGCAGCTACTTATGCACCCCCACTCCCCTCTCGCTATCGAGTCCGCAGGCCGAGAAACTCTCTCGGACCCGCCAAATAAACTTTCAACCGACCTGAACTGCCTCCTGGCGGCTCAGGCCGACTCTTCTTAAATTTGCCTTAGTAGGATCCCCTCAGCGGCTCGTAGTCGCCTGCGCCCTCTTTTCCCAAAAGAGGGTCGCTTCCGATTCGGCAGAAAGGTGCTTGACTGTGTGCTCGTTTGTCACCCAAGCCTATATAAAAAAAAAATGGAGATCGGTCGAGCAACTGATCTGAGTATGTATCAGAGTTGTCGTTGTCACTGAGCGATACTGTTACTGAATTTTTTTTTCTTTTTTATTAAAAAATGTTACCCCCACACTAGGATTTTCTCCTGTATCGTGGAGGCAGTTTACAAACTCAAATTGCACAAGGACAAACATCCAGACCCGGAACAATTATTTGTAGGCCATACAAATACTTGTTCCGTGCGGGTTCGAACCCGCGGCCCCCAGCGCAGCAACTCATTGCTAAGCCACTGCGTCACGGAGCCGTCAAGAAATTGTTACTTTATTCTTTTAATTGTTATATGTGTTTCGTAGTGATAGACGATTGTTTTTATGTGCGCAGATATCCCCGCGCAAAAAATGACAGACAGTTCTGTATCGGGGAAAAGCGCTATGGCTACTCTCCTTCGGTCCTCCGGTTGCCCGTGTTGCCCTATGGTCCACTTGATGGTAAGTAGCTACTGTAGTCCTTGCACCTACGGCCAATTTCAAACAAAGAAGGCTACAGGTTCGTTGTCACCTCTGAGGACTGAGATGGAATGCATCACAGCCTGTTATTATACTGGTTCTCTATTCGCTTTAGAGCAGAACACAGCAGTACTGCTATTTGGTGACAGAAATAAGAACAACTGATGTACTGAATCTGATGGACTTATAGGCAGAAAACGAGTCTTACCAATAAGTGATCATCCGCAAAAAAGACAGACATGTTTAGGTTGGAAGCGCTTTATTTTTCTAAGCTAGTAATAAAAGAATTCTGTTTTTTTTTAAACGTTACCCCCACACTAATATTCTCTCCTGTGTCGTGGAGGCAGTTTACATTGCACAAGGACAAACATCCAGACCCGGAAAAATTATTTGTAGGCCATACAAATATTTGTTCCGTGCGGGTTCGAACCCGCGGCCCCCAGCGCAACAACTCATTGCTAAGCAACTGCGCCAGGAAGCCGTCAGAGAGAATGAAACAACGATTTATTCAAATTCGTTATATTTTCGACTTTGTTAACATATAAATAAAGCATTTTGTTTTAAAATGGCTAACTCTCGACAGAATAATGTATTCGAGAACGTGCCTTACAGATGAGAAAATAAGGTCGATTTAAAAATATTCAACTTTTAAATAAGAACTCTTGTTACAAAATTGCTCTATTGAATTAAAAAGAATAAAGAAAGAAAATATACACTAAAGACTGTATGTATGCTACTATACCCGTAATCCAGAACAAAGACTGTGCCACAGAGCGGGTAGCTGGCACGGTAAATATGCCGCGCAGTTGTATTGTCATTTACGATAGTTACTGTTTTTGAGCAAATAGGAAATAAACTAACTTATTTATCTGAAATAAACTTCAAATCACTTTGACAAATTGCCGACATAAATAATCAGTGTTTTCTCAGTCACACTAAACAAAATCAGTGTTAGATTGTCGAAAACAACGTTCGCAGTTTACAAAACAAAGAACTAGACTCCTCGCTCGCCCGCAGTCAACTAAAGGAGTTAGGGAAAATTGACCGTAACTTAGTGCGCAATTTATTAAGGCTGCAAAATCCGTTTAGTAGTATACACAAAAGTCTATGGTATACACTTTCTTCCAGGAAGACGTCCGCCTCAAAAATGTACTAAACATTGTTTCTATGACGAAATCTTTATTTTTTTTTTTAACAAAATTTCTTACAAACTACTTATAAATAACTGTTAGGGATTGCACAACAATGTCGGGCAGTGCGTCATTTCCTCTTGGATTTCAACTTGACGCCTTTAGTCTTCGATTTCACGATCCCCTTGAACTGTTTCGAAGTTGTCGCTTTTTTCCTGCAAGACAGAATGCATATAATACATAATATTTAAACGTTCGGCCAGTCTCCACCCTTTCGTTGTTGACTTATCACGCATTCGAACCAAACGAAAATAAACGGAATAAGTTGCCAGCATCTGTCTTTCCATCCGGTTACAATGTGGGTTACAAGAGTGAACAGACTTTTGTTATGTCAGTGCACTTCACCATTTTACGCTACTTTACCACTTACCATAAGGTGGGGTCGTAGATAAGCGCTAGCTTAGTGGGATATAAAAAATATATATAAAAAAGTAAAATTACAGTATTTATAAGTGTATACCGTGTAGGGGCGGTGTACGAATATCCACTATCCTATAATATAGTCCCGTGGGTGTCGGTAAAAGGCGACAGAGGAAAACTGCAATAGGAGATGATGATGATGAATTTTAGTTATGATCTACCTAATAATAACTAAAAATAAAACAAGAAAGGCATAGTTATTACTAACTAGATACGCCCCGGCTTCGCACGGGTGATTTCTGGATCTCGACAATACCGGCTCCAATCGTAAATCTAAACCATCAAGGGACCCACTCAAAAGCACAGAAAAAACAAATTTCATCAAAATCGTTCTAGCCGTTATCGACTTTTAGCGAGACTAACGGATTTGTATTATAGAGATTAATTATCATCTTATTTGTAGGTTTTTAAGACACTACTCAATGTAACAAATTCAAATTATATTAGTTTTTATGATAGTGGTAACCAACCCAAAAAACATTCATATTGAAATCAAAAGCCGTCGGTAGTACCTTATTTATTTTTATAGGATAGGATGACAAACGATCACACAGTCCACCTGATGGTAAGTGGTTGCTGTGACTCATAGACATCTACATATATGCTCGATTACGAATCAAAATGCAGATGCGGTGTCACCCGTGAGGACTAAGAAGGAATGCCCCGTTTCAAGTAAAAAGGGTCTCCGGTTCTCTACACTCACCATACGAAACACAGCAGCGTTAAGCTGCTATAAAGATTACTTGACCTTATAATGATTTTAAACTAAAGAAACCCCTTCACGAGGAAAAGGCTCATGTTAAGAAAATTTTATCGTCCCCGTTTCACTTGTATCAGGTGTACATCAGTCAATTTCATTGTTAATTTTTCCCTTCCCGCTTGGAAGAGGCTCACAATTATATAAAAGTGCCCAATAAAATATGTATGGTTGTTTAAAGGTAAATGTATAGTGAAGTATGTTTACCTTTTATTGAGGTTCTTCCTTGATAGAGGCAGGTACGCGTAAGGGTCGGGTTTACCCTTTTTCTTGATATCACCTTTGGCCTTCTTACTTCTGTACTCCGTGCCAACTGATGAAGCTACGGAAGCAGCGGATCCAAGAGGCCTGGATCATAATTTATCATTACAGTCTAGTCTAGTGAATTGCTGGTCTACTAAGGGCTCATTTTTAATATTCACACAAAAGTTCTATTGAGTAAATTATAACCCGACTGATTATAAAAGTGAAACAGCTGAACTTTATATTCATACAACTGCCATTTTTAATTTGTATATGTTGTATTTTATCGTGTGAATAACTTTTATCTGAGGATTAAAAAATTTGCCTTAAGTGATGAAGCCGTACGAAGTTATTGCTACTGAAAACTAAATAGGTATACATCATCTAGGCAGGTTGTGGTGATACTCAATTACTAGCATAAAATACACAACCATAGAATACACAACTAGCACAATAAATTACTTATTTTATTCTATCCATCTTAAAGCGATATTCCGTTTATCTACCCTAAAAACTCCACCCTGTGATGTATACTACCTTATTGCACTAATAATAGAGAATATTCTTAACTTATTTTAACCTTAGAATGGCTGTTTCAGGGTGGATAAATGGAATTTCCCATTTTAAATACATATTTAATTATACAAACATGAAATGAATGTCGTTGAGATTTCGTACACTGAAGTAGTACAGTAGTAGTTATATGTATATAATTTATAGTTAATGTATTAAGTTCGAGAGAGAAAGAAAGTGATAGATAGAAAAAGAAAAAAAGAGAGAAAGAGAGAGAGAGAGAGATTGTACTACGTGACCAAAACAATTATAATTATATAGTTTATAATTGTTTTGGTCCATAGATCCATAGATTTAATGTATACTATATCTGTGGTTTAATCATTTTAATTAAAAAATTGACAAAATTAATGAACTTCTTTTATCTATTGGGATATGTCCCTTAAAGAGCGAAGTTAAATTTTATCTACTCTCCCTCCCCCTCTCTGGTGAGCGTCACCCCACCCTAGAGTCTCGAAGATTTTCGCGGGTTATTTCCAGTTTTAAAGAAAACCGTACAAGATATATAAAAAAATGTGTAGGTACGAAACGATACTTAACAAATTTTCTATCAATCTTTTGTACATACAAAAGCTATATCACGTATAGTTTATGCGTAATCTGCCACGAAATATGATTTATTTTTAATCATTTATCCATTTTTTGCTCAAAGTTACGGGGTGACGCTCACTCAGGCGAGGAAGAGTGGATAAAATTTTACTTCGCACTATAACGTACATATGCCAATAGATAAAAGTGCTCCATTAATTTTGCCAATTTTTCCATACATTGCTATCTAGAATGCTTGAACTAATAAACGCATGACAGCTAACCGTACGTACATATTATACAACATATTTCAGTAATGTGGAGATTGAATGTTATAAAACGTGTTATATAACGTGACACAAATGTCATATAACTAGAGTATTTTTCTCTAGTCAATAAACTAGGACAAACTCAGTATCTACGTTTTTTTTCTTTTGTTATTTAAAAGTACAAGAGTTGCTGGAGCAGCTAGGAAAACGTCCTCTCGTGTCAACATTGTGAATAGCACTGCAGAACGACAATCAACAATGTCATATAACATTGTTATAATGCATTGTTATTCTAATGTGTGCAGTATTGTTATATGTTGCAATGTTTGAAAAACAATGTAACATAATGTGGACGTGTTATAAAACAGAAGTTACACAACATGTTACTTAATCTGTACGCACCTTAAGATGTAATGAGAACTAGAGAGAGAATACGGAAAGGTGATTGGTCACCAGGTAAAGTTCGGAGGATAGATGCGGGGTGCGGGCGCCGAAACCGCATTCCTGTCATGCGCCTAATTGTTTTGGCCAAGTTGTAGTGCTAAATATGTATAAAGTATAATAAAGTTGAAACTAGGTACAGAAAATTAAACATGTTCTTTCCCTCTATTACTATAGATGCACTGAACGTTCGTAACATTTTTTATGTTATAGCCTTTGATATTGTGGTTAGGTCACAATAATTCTGCCAATATTTTTTTTTAATAAAACCTTACATCCACACTAGGATTTTATCCTGTATCGTGGGGGCAATTCACATACATACATTTCACAAGGACGTATGTCCTTGTGAAATGTATGTATATCCAGACCCGGAACAATTATTTGTAGGCTATATACAAATACTTGTTCCGTGCGGGATTCAAATTAGCGCTGTAACTAATTGCTAAGCTACTGCACCACGGAGCCGTCAATTTAGAAATTAAAATTAAATTATTACACCGAACTTAATATGAACTTTAGACTATTTACACCTGCGATAAAGTGCAGTTTTTATTACTTAATCGCTATAGCTGTAATGAATTAATTAATGATGATGATGATAATGATCGTTACCTGTGTATACCGCGGCCTCCAGTCGTGTAGCGGGACAGCGTGGCCGTGGAGGCGCGGCTCTTGTTGCTGCGTCCGCTCTTTATACTCAAGATGTCATCGTACCGACGTTTGCTTCCCGGCTTCAGCAGCTTCGACGGCTTAGCTTCGGTCGCTTCGTTATCTGGCAATGGACAATATTATTTTATTTTACACCACAAGTAAGGGTGTCAAATGAGCACACAGTTCCACTTATATACATGTATGTAAGTTATATACCATAGACTGTTGCCTCCTACACATTATACTGTAGCGACAGCCAGTTGCGTATTGCATCACGTTGCACGAGAATGTTCCCGACGACAAGGGTCAATAGCCTCTATCGAGTAATAAAATGTGTAGGCAAACATCCAATTTTCTAATCCTAACCAGCATTTTACATATTAAGTCTTTACCTATGAAATTGCCGTTTTTTATGAAATAAGTTAACGTAAATTTTTTTCTATTTATTTTTTATTACTATTAATCAAGCGGGTGGAAGACCGGTACTTGAAGTCCTTCAGAAGCTCTTTAATTCTGTCCTCCATGGTGGCATTACACCGGAGGCGTGGAGCAGAAGTGCGGTGGTCTTGTTCTTCAAGAAAAGTGACAACGCTCTCTTGAAGAACTACAGACCGATTTCCCTTCTGAGCCGCGTCTACGTGCTGTTTTCGAGAGTCATTACGAATCGTCTCGCGCGCAGACTTGACGACTTCCAGCCTCCCGAACAAGCCGGTTTCCGAAAGGGCTTTAGCACCATAGACCACATACATACCCTTCGGCAAGTTGTACAGAAGTCCGAAGAGTACAATTTGCCACTATGTCTGGCGTATGTGGACTATGAGAAAGCCTTTGATTCCGTCGAAATTTGGGCGGTGCTGCAGTCCCTTCAGCGGTGCCAAGTTGACTGTCGGTATATCGAAGTGTTGAAGTGCTTGTACAGTAGGGCTACGATGGCTATCCGAGTACAGAACCAGAATACGAAACCTATCCAATTGCAGAGAGGTGTAAGACAGGGTGACGTCATATCCCCGAAACTCTTCACCGCTGCATTGGAAGACGTTTTCAAGCTTCTGGACTGGAAAGGATACGGTATCAACATCAATGGCGAGTACATCACTCACCTTCGATTTGCCGACGATATAGTCCTTATGGCAGAATCGCTGGAGGACCTAAGCACTATGCTCAATGACCTCAATAGTGTTTCCCAACGGATAGGTCTTAAGATGAACATGGACAAAACAAAGATCATGTTTAATGTCCATGTCACACCTATGCCGGTAGTTGTTGGGAGCACTAAGCTCGAAGTTGTTGACGAGTATGTTTACCTGGGACAAATAGTCCGACTAGGTAAGTCCAACTTCGACCGAGAGGTCAATCGACGGATTCAACTCGGCTGGGCAGCGTTCGGGAAGCTACGACACATCTTCTCGTCAGACATACCTCAAAACCTTAAAACGAAATTGTACAACCAGTGCGTGTTGCCAGTGATGACTTACGGAACTGAGACGTGGTCCTTCACTGCTGGCCGTATGAGGAAGCTCAAGGTCGCTCAGCGAGCTATGGAGAGGGCTATGCTCGGAGTTTCTCTGCGTGATAAACTTAGGAATGAGGATATCCGCAGTAGAACCAGAGTGACCGACATAGCCCAACGGATTAGTAAGCTGAAGTGGCAGTGGGCCGGCCATATAGCTCGAAGAACCGACAACCGATGGGGAAGAAAGGTTCTCGAGTGGCAGCCTCGTACCGGTAGGCGAAGTGTAGGGCGTCCCCCCACGAGATGGAGTGACGACCTGGTAAGACATGCAGGAAGTCGATGGATGCAGGTGGCTCAGGACCGTGCTTTGTGGCATTCTTTGGGGGAGGCCTATGTTCAGCAGTGGACTTGTGAAGGGCTGTAATGATGACTATTAATCAAAGTAATCACCCATGCAATCGATGCATCTTTGCCACCGCAGTGGCAGTTTATTGATGCCATTCTTGAAAATATCAGGTGTACGAGATACAACAAATTCTACAAAGGTACTGCCTCTCGGGTATCGAATTTTTTTTCCGCCAAAAAGTTATCCAAATTCTGGAAAAAGTAGAAATCTGTGGGCGCAAGGTCTGGTGAGTACGCCGGATGACGGGGAGCTTCCAACCCCAGCTCTTGTAACTTGGAGACCGTCTGTTGTGCAGTATGAAGTCGCGCGTTGTCGTGCAGAAGCAGCAGGACAAGCGATTGACCAAAGCTGGTTGGAGATGTGCGAGCTTCTCCATCAGTGTGTTCACTTCTTCACAGTACACATCTGCAGTTATGCTCATCCCGTTTGCTGAGAAGCTGCAATGAATCACATCAGCGCTAGACCACCAAACAGTGACCATCACTTTTCTAGGGGTAAGTTTTTGTTTAGGGCATTGTTTAGGTTCTGAATCAGGATCCAACCAACTTGCTGGGCGCTTGCGATTGTCAAAGAGAATTTTCGTGGCAGTGTGCCTGTTGAGCAGTGCAAGGCACGTCTCGACGCCTACATCATGCTATCTTCGAGTTCGTGGGATACCCATTTGTCAAGCTTTTTTACCTTGCCAATTTGACGCAAATATACCAATATTGTTTTGATGCTAACATCGAAAACTGTTGCTAATTCAGCCGTAGATTGAGTATCATCAACTGCCACAATCGCCTTTAATTCGTCACTGTCGTCAAAGTTTTCGGACGAACACGGGGTTCATTTTTCAAGTTAAAATTCCCAGAACGGAAGCGGGCAAACCAAGGTGGTGCGTTCGTTTATAGTATTCGCTCCGTAAGCGTCGTTGACGTTGCGTGCCGCTTGTGTCGCGTTGCTGCCACGACGGTACCTACTCATATTCCATAATTACTCAAATTTTCAACGTATCCATGATGACGCAAAAGATTCAAATGCGATTAAAACAAATTTTTGAAAAAATATTAGCGTTACATCAATAAACAAATGACTAATTTTGAAAAAGGAATTCCATGTCTTTAAAATAAAATTAATTTGCAATTAGAATTCTTAGCCAAACAAAAATTATTTTAATTTTAAATGGCCAATACGACAGAATTGCAATTTCATTGGTAAAAACCATCGATCACTAATACAAACTGTGAATGACAAAAATGTCCTTACCGAATGAGCGCCCATCCGAACACTTGAGTGCGCTTTTAATTTGTACGTAGTTTTGTGAATACAACTTTAGGCAATGTATTTAAGGTTGAATTTACATTAATGTATATTTATTTCAACTAGAATTACGTCAAAACAATTGGCGACAGTTTTTAGAGAACTTTTGCATGGGTTTGTGTATCTATTTTTTTATTAGTGAACGATGGTAAAAGCCTATTATTATACCCTTGATTAAGAAAAAAAATTGAAATAGAAATTATTTATTCAATATAGATTATAAATAATACATCATATTAAAAATAGCTTGGTAGCGATCACCTCATTCACAGGGGTTCTTATCATCCATGAACTCCTTAATATTATGATGAGTACCACTTTTCATATAATCTTTGTTTAATACTGTGTTAAAACTTAGCAATGAACAAATTTTGTATATTTTTTGGGATTTTGTTGTGAAAACGTATACATTGCCCCAATAATGAATTCCTGAATATGTGAAGTCGAGTAACTAGTGCTACTAGCTAGTTTCTGTTCCTAGTATTTACAGAATAAATATTGATATATATTTATTAAATACTAGGGACAGAAACAATATGATTGTATTTTGTGTACATACATTATATTTACGTTATATTGAGAGGCAAAGTTAATATATTCATTCTAAAAGTTTACTATCGATCCGGAAGGACCTTTACATTCACGTGCGAACATGGTAAACTTTAAAATGTAATTACCAATATTATATTAGATTGATATTTAGATTTAACTCGACTTGCATATTAATTAATTTAAAAAAAAACCTATCGTGTCTAAAATAATAATAATCTTAAATGATTCAGAACAAATTCATTTTAGATCTTTTTTGATTTACTTTACACAATAAGTAAAATAAAAAATATATTTACCAGTATCATCGGTGTCACTGTCAATATCACCGCTGGGCTTGGGCGGCTCGTCTTCATCGTCGAACGCATCTTCGGAGATGATCAGTCTTCCGTCCGGAGCGGTTCTGAACCCGCCGTCTTTCTTCTTCTGTGCCTTTTCTTCTGTCACTTTCTTCTTTTGCGTCGGATCCGTAGCTAAGAACGGGAATATTTGTTAGTGAGAAATACGTAGGAAATATAAAGTACTCTATTGGGAATATAGTACACAATCAATGTAAGACCGAATGAGATCAGATTTCGGTCACAGCGGCTTCACAATTTGAAACTAAAATAAATTAATTTTTTTTTGCCATAGACACCAGTAACCAAGTCAAAACTGTGAAAAGGCTATATCACATGCAAGGAGAATATAAAATGTCTGTAATAATATTTCTTACCAAGCTGGGACATAGAATTAGATATTCTGATATTTATGACAAAAGTGGACAAGAAAGAGGGAATGTGGTAGAGCCAAGCTCCGGCTATATTATGGTTGTAGCACGAATGGTTGGGCTCGACCAAGGAAGGACCACACCCTCAGAGAATACCTGTTGTGTTCCATATGGTGAGTGTAGAGAACCGGAGACCCTTTAACTGGAAACGAGGCATTCCATCTTAATCCTCAGGGGCTGCAACGCATCTGCATATTGATTTTTAATGGAAGATAAATGTAGATGTCTATGGGCCACAGCATCCACTTACCATCAAGTGAACTGTGTGCTCGTTTGTCACCCTTATACTATAAAAAAAAAGAGGGTGTCACTAGCCTAGATGAATTCTAAGGCAGAAATAAAGCGCCCTAACCATATAAGAAAATTAGCTTATATATAAACCTACATATTATTACAGAAGTCCACAGTTGGACTTAAGACTCCAAACCACGATCCTAACCCACCTTCATCCATTGACTTTAACGCACACAACCTGTATTGAATAATTATTATATTCCATCCTATTCTGATGGAGATGAAGAATGAACAAGAGGGTGAAGTATTGGCAAAACAACTGCATTACCAGTAATCTTTCTAGCAGCAGATACATCAGCGAGGTCCACGATTTCCTCAGCGTCATCTTGAATCCAGGCCTTGTTCTTTGCTCGCTTCACCTTATTCTTAGGTGTTACTTCTTCGTCTAGGTATTCCATCTCTGAGTCGGAGTCCTTGAGGATGTCCTCTAGAGTTTTCGAGGTGCCTTTCACAGCCAAGTCGTTGTCAGAATCCGAATCGGCTTGGTTTCTAAAAAAGAGATATATTAATTGTTTTACCAGTCAATAAGACTTCATGGTTAAGTCATTTTTATCAGTCTTCTATTTTTATTAGCATGGTTTGAATGTATTTAAAGAATAACAATATTGGTCAATACTGGAAATCAGCATTGTGGATTTGCCACATCTCATAGTAAGTGATGACCTTTTTTGACATGTTCGACATACAAAATCAAATTAAATAAAATTAAAAAACATGTAATTTTGTTTCTTTGTGAAAGTTTACTAAGAATTATTTAGAAAAAATAAAAATAAATTTAACATTTGATTTTTCATGTAATTTCACAATTAATAATTTAAAATTATAAATTTTGTACAGCCAACTTCAATATAAGTTATTAAGAATAGCTCAAAAACTATTGGTCTGACCTTGATCAAATTCATATGGGACCACACGAGATGTATCAGCTTTCATATAAAAAAATAATCATCGAAATCAGTTCACCCAGTAAAAAGTTATGAGGTAATACACATAAAAAAAAATACAGTCGAATTGAGTACCGTCTACTTTTTGGAAGACGGCAGAAAATGGTTTTTCTAAAGTGTAAATTCAAACGCCAGTTACGTCATTATATCGCTTAAGTAGCGCCACCGCATGGTGAAATGATAAAACACTCTTGTTTACGTTGTCAAAATTAAAAAAATTGTCATTGCATAATACAGGTTTAAACGTGGTAGAGCCATGCTGCAGCTATATTTCTGGTATAGTTGTAGCACGAATGGGTCGGCTCGACCGGGGAAGGACCACGCTCTCACAGAATACCAGCGTCAAATAGCAGCTTAACACTGCTATTTCGTATGGTGAGTGTAGAGAACCGGAGACCCTTTTTACTAGAAACGAGGCATTCCATCTTAGTCCTTACGGGTGGCAACGCATCTGCATTTTGATTCGCAAACGAGGATAAATGTAGATGTCTATGGGCCACAGCAGCCACTTACCATCAGGTGGACTGTGTGCTCGTTTGTCACCATATACTATTAAAAAAAAATATACAGGTTATTTGTTTTGTAATAACACATGGTGATCCGAATTTTTTTTTTCTTCCATTTCTTGGCCTGCACGGTTTGTGCCTCAGCCATGTCTTCCATTTTTCAATATATAATTATCCTTCATAGTACAAATGTATAATTATCCTTCGTAGTACACTGCTTCACAATACGTTGATGCGTCACATTGTGAAGTCCTTGGGAGATTTTGCAACTATGTTTGACGAACTATATTTGACGGTATCTCAAGGCGCCTAAGCAGACCGTTATCTTGAGAATCACATCACCATCAGAGCACTTGTTTCACCGTTTCCACTAATAGTTCGCATGCGTAGACACTTAATACACAAAATCGCACCTCTTTTACATATCAAAGTCCACTTCAAACCATTATTTAAACAATAATACAGGAGCAGCAAACCGCCGCGGTCAAGTTCCCGCCAAAACTCGTGATCCGAATATAGAAAATACAAAAGTTTAGCATGATTGCGATTGGCTTTCAGCCTTCACGGATAAAATGACGTCACATCCAATTACAAGTCGATTTTTTTTAATGTAATTTAAATCAACGCGAAACTAGCTCCTATTAAAGGTTACATTTGATAGGAGCTAGTTCCTTCGTATATTTGACAAGAACAGATCTTAATCGTATTTCCCATCCCAAATCACCGACTCATCATCATCACAGCCTATCACGGGTCCTGTACTGAACATAGACCTCCTGAGTCACCTGCATCCATCGACTTTCTGCATGTCTTATCAGGATGTCACTCCATCTAGTGGAGGGCCGCCCCACACTTCGTCTACCGGTACGAGGCATCGATTATCGGTTCTTCGAGCTAAATGACTGGCACATTGCCACTTCAGCTTACCAAAGAGAATATAGGCAAAAAAGCGTGCATTTATATTGTGTACGAGTATATTAGATATATCGATATTTTTTGTTACCTTCTTGCACACTACAACCACAAACTTTGTGAAAAAATGAATTCCGACAGTTTTTTATTGTTATAGTAATTTAAGTTAACTGGAGCTGATATTGATGTGCACTTGAAAGTGAAACTTGATACAATCTTCATAATAATTTAACATTCGACCACTAGACGACCACTAGTTACAATAATTATTTATTACTCATTTAACACTTACCTTCTCTCTTCTCTAATTCTCTTTTTCCTGTTCTCCATCTTCCTTATATTCCTCAGTCTTTTCAGCATGACCTCATCCTCACTTGGTATAAGTTTCTCCACAGTTTCCGCACCGTATTTCCTCGTCATTCTCGCCAAGAAATAACCGATTTCAAGACGTGAATGTCTCTTGCAGTCTTCGGACATGTTGGACAAGGTTTTGAAGATCAGCGGAAGGCTACCAGCTAGCACCTCAGTGGGTAAGACTTTAGTGTACACCTGGAAGCATTATATTAATAGTGGACATCGAAAATGGAAGTAACCTTTTTAGTATTTATTATAAAACGTCACCGTATTTCACACCCTCAGGGGTTGAATTTTCAAAATTGTTAGTGTGTGTCTACGTCGAGCAAGGAATATATATGCCAAATTTCAAGTCAATCCGGTGTATAGTTTTAGAGATCTCAGTCAGTGGTATTTCGCTTTGAGTTTTAAAAATTAAACAGGTATTATAAGCACTATATAATGTGTTAGAGAGAAAGAAACAGTTTATTGTAAATAAAGATGCACTTATAAGCTTATAACACAATCTATATAGTATTTTCAGTTTTTATATGTCATGTACATAGTTATCTTAAACGTGGTAGAGCCATGCTGCAGCTATATTAGTAGTATAATTGTAGCACGAATGGGTCGGCTCGACCGGGGAAGGACCAAGCTCTCCCAGAATACCAGCGTAAAATAGCAGCTTAACGCTGTTATGTTTCGTATGGTGAGTGTAGAGATCCGGAGATTTTTTTTTTTTACTGGAAAAGAGGCGTTCAATCTTAGCCCTCACTGATGACAACGCATCTTCATTTTGATTCGCAAACGAGGATAGATGTAGATGTCTACGGGCCACAGCAACCACTTACCATCAGGTGAACTGTGTGCTCGTTTGTCACCCTTATTCTATAAAAAAATAGATAGGACATAGTTAACACACGCCACTAGAGCTGTAATTTAAAATAAATCAAACCATTATGCATGTTAATCATTCTAACCTTCTAGATATAATATAGTTCACAGTGTTATTTAGCCAACCATAAGAGAAACAGCCTCTATTATAACATTTCCCTTACCAGTTCTCACGAAGAGGGGTGAACAGTGTAGCTATTACTGGCAACACCGTCTAACACTCCTCCACTTGTCAACAATAGTGATTGTCCTAAGGCTAAGGTAAGTCATTAATATAAATTAAATACAGAAATGGGCCAAGAATCGAGCCCTCAGGAACACCCATTGACATTACCAATCCGGAAGAACTCTTACCTATGCAATATCACAGACATCGCAATTAGTAAAGATTTTAAGTATGAAGTGATCGCGGAGCAGGAAGAATTTAAATTATTGCATTTCATACTAATGTGAACTTTAATAACTATAGAATAAGCTCGGTTTTCGAATCACAAATACTGTTCAATAGGTCCTAAAAGTATATTAATTACAATAGAAATAAAACTTTTAATGATGGGAATTAAGTTCAAAAATGCAAAGCAATAAAATAATTACTGCTTCGCGACCATGCATTAGTAAGTAGTTGTTTATGTTTGTAAATAATATGTAAACTTAGTTATAAATTATAGTAAATTAACAGTAGCTATGGAAGGGCGATGTCACCTGTCATATTTTACAAAATATATAGAGATAGTCAATAAGTTTTTGCACCTTAAGGAAGCTCATAGCACCGGCAACAATTTCTCTGTTGTTGTTCAGCATCATCTCAGCCACCTTCTCCAACAGCTGCTGGACGGTTTCCAGGCCCATCTCCTCAGAGAAGTTGAACAGTGCGGAGGCGAGCGCTCTGAGAGTTGCACTCACTACACGAGGGAGTGGCGCTGTTAGACCGGATGACAGCATCTCTAGGAATGCTTGCATTCCTGTAGGGTAGATTTATAAATGAATTAATGATACATGTACCAGCCTTAAAATAATCACATAGTTTTTTTATAAGATAAGGGTGACAAACGAGCACACAGTCCACCTGATGGTAAGTGGTTGTTGTGGCCCATAGACATCGACATCTATCTTCGTTTGCGAATTAAAATACAGATGCGTTGTCACCCGTGAGGACTAAGATGGAATGCCTCGTTTCCAGTAAAAAGGGTCTCCGGTTCTCTACACTCATCATACGAAATACAGAAGCGTTATTATAGCAGCTTGCTATTTTACGCTGGTATTATGTGAGAGCGTGGTCCTTCCCCGGTCGAGCCGACCCATTCGTGCTACAACCATAATATAGCTGCAGCATGGCTCTACCACGTATAAAAATATACATAATTGCAGTAAACAGTAGCATTTTTACCTGGTAGAACAATGCTGCAGCTACGCTGTTTATATTTTAGCACGCGCATGGGTCAGCTTGAACGGAGTACGACCATTCTCACACAATATCAGCATGAATTTTTTTTTTAATTTAAAAAACATTTTTTTTTGTCTATGGGTCTATTCCGTTTAATTTTAGAAGTATTCAATATTACTATAAAAATCACAGAAAATGAGGATTATACACAAATAAACATGAGCCTACCTCCATCTTGATCTTTCAGAACATTTCCAACAGTGTTGATAACGTTGAAGGCACACTGTCGACATTTTGAATTTATGTCTTTTGTACATATCACCGATTCAGCTATCGCACTCTTCAGTAACTTGTTTTCAGCATTCACGAAATGAGTGGCATTTATAAGATGTTCTATGCACCTAAAAATAAGTTCATTTTAGATTACTGAGTAAAAATATGTATATCAAAGATTTATGGATGGCCGCATGGTTTAATAGAGAATGTGTTAATTGAGTTAATTTTTGCTTTTGGGTTCAAATTCCAATCATTGTTAGTTATCCAAAAATTAAAAATGTTGTATAACCAACTTCAATATATATTTTTATTTTTGTATTTCATGTGTTTTATTGTATTTTTTTTTGGAACTAACCTCAATCTAGCAGCCTTGCTGCTGTCAGCAACTTTGCTCAACGAACTCATCAACATTTTCTTTATCTTCTTATAATTGTCCTTTATAAATTGCTTACACGTCTCTTTCTCACTCCTGAAAATCTCCTCTAATATCCTATAAGCTTTTTTGTGTTCCATTTCTAGTAATTTTGCTTTCTCCTTGTACCTCAGTTGCTTTTTGACTTCTCCATCTTCCGCCATTGCCTCTCTTCTTGCCTTTTTGAATGTCTTAGGATCCTCTAAGACCGTCTCACAGAGTGGGAACACCCATTTGTCGAACAAAATTGCGATTTGCTCACTTGTTTGGTACAAGACGAGAAGACGTATGATATCCAAGATAGATTCGCGTTGGAAGTGGTTGTCGACCGATGCTTCGAGCTGTTGCAGTGCGTTTTTGTACAACTCCTCCCTTACGTTTTCATCGCTTATTGTTAGATACACCTGAAAAAAAAAAGTGTAGTTATAGCCTATTATCCGAGCGGTGTAAGAATATCCACAACACTATTGGTCCGTGGGTATCGTAAGGGGCGATAGAGGAAAACAAACCATTAGCAGCAGCAATTTCCCAATAAAAAACTAGTAAATAAAAACTGCGGTTGCCAACTCCGCCATTGCCGGTCCCAAGCCCGGATGAGAAAGGAGGAGGGGACGAATCCGCCGGAGAGAGTGGGTGTATCCGGTGGACTAACACACCCACCTGCGCTAGGACCTGCGCAGTCGAGCGCCGTACGCGGGGATGAAGGAGTCCTGGAGGGTTGAGCCGATCGTCGCTGGGGTATATAGTGGCGAGAGGCAACACGCCCTCTTTGGTCCGGATTTCAAGCTAAACGGTGGCCCTATCTGCTAGCCACAGATAGGGAAATGGCCAAGCGCCCCGTCAGAGGGTCGCAGGCGAGGGATGTGGGGGCTGCCTAGTCTTCCTGAAAAGGGGGCTGGGTGGTGGTAAAGGCCATGCTGACGGAGCAAGTGACAGTTTATTCGGGTGGTGGGGATGGGCCTTGTCAGCCCCATCTACCAGCTGGATCGAGCTCCCGATGTCGCGCTGTGAGCCAACTTCGCGTCCCTATATTCTCCCGGTAATCCTAACGCCTGAAATTCCTAAAGTAGGGCGTTCCCAAAGGTGCGGGCTCCATGGAGGGTGGGAAGCCGGGGGGATGAATTTTAAAAAACACAAATTATGGACAATTTAAGGCCCAATAAGAAGGAGGGAGAGGTGTCAGAGGTGCTTACCAGAGACACCAAAGAACAAAAGGGAACCGTCACTAAACCGACGGTTCCACGGACAGTACCGTCCAGCGTAGGTGCCCCCACCAAAGGGATAACCTCGCTGAACGTTTCCAAAACCAGTTCCAAGGAGCTGGAAGAGAAAGAGAAAAAGAAACAAGAGCCCGCAAGTGATAAAACTGCGGAGCCACTACGGACTGACGACCTTTTCTCTGCTGCCTGGCAAGTGGTGAGCCGTAAGGGGAAAGGCAAGGCACCCAAAAAGGTGACTTGCCGACCTGACGGACCATCAGGAGGGTCTATCCCTGCAGGCAGTAGTGGAAAGGCCAAAAAGAAGAACAAGAAGCAGCGGGAAAAAGGCCGTAGAGAACGAGCCGCTTTGGCTGCTTCAGATACCAAAACCAAGGAGGCTGGGCAAGCTACTGCGACTGAGGTGCTTGGCGCTGGAACCAGTAGCCGCGCTGAAGCTGGGAAGGATAAAAATCCAGCCCAAGTGGAAGTCGCGGACGCGGGAACCAGCTCTAGGATATCCGCCAGGAAGCAGCGAGCGGCCAAGCGTCCTGGGAAGAAGGAAAGAGCAGCCAAAAGGATGCTGGAAGAGTCCACCTCGCCTAGAGGTGAACACAAAAAAGTGAGACTCGAACAGCAACCAAAGACTGCAAGAACGAGCTACGCTTCCGCTGCTAAAGCAGATTTGGGTGTGGCCTTAACGTGTGCGCGTTCAGGTCACATTACGAAGGAAGTAGCAGACGACATCCTCGTAGCAATACAGAGGAAGATGATCAGCGAGGCCTGGAGTAGCCAGGACCCTGATGCGTCGGGCCCAGTTTTTAGGGGCAAACCCGTTTATACGGAAGGTGTCCTGAAACTGTGGTGCGACGATCAGAAGGCTCTGGACTGGTTGAAGGGGAACATTGCTACCCTCGACCTTAAATCCAGCACCTTGCTGACAATAAAGAAACAGTCAGAGATACCACAAAGAGTCAAATGTGGTATCCTTATCCCTGATGCCCAGGGGGCCTGGAAAGACTCACGCGACATTGGTCGCGTGTTGGCGTACCAGAACCGCTGGGTTAACATCAGGGACTGGCTGTTACTCAAGGCAGATAAGCAGACGGACGGGTGGTTCCTCGTTGTTTCGGTGCCGGAGGATCATATCCCGACCCTGATGAAGGCCGGACGCCGTCTCGCATGTGTATGCGGGGCGGTATACGTAAAATTCCAGGGTCGTGGAGGCAAATTCTTTGATACTCCACCGAGCAAAGAGGTAGAAAACAACCCGGAAGTTATGGATACCGAAGCCATAGTTACCGGTACAGCGGAATCACTGGAGGCCAAGTCCAGTGAAGAAACGGCCTGCACAATTGAGCCGAAGCCCCCAGTGGAGATTGGGCTCAGCGGCAGCTCACTGAGTGACGAGGAGGACTGCATTTTGCCGACCACCTCCGACTCGGTGGCTGACGATGAGACCCGAGATCTGCTGGCAGGCCTATTTTTGGGCGGGGACGGGGAGGACGCGATCAATGATGGCGTGCCCTTCGTCCAAAACTAGCCTAGTGCAGGCCAACCTCCACCACAGCGAAACTGCGTCGGCTCAATTACGCAAGTGGTTGGAGGTTCAAAGGACTGCCATAGCCTTAATCCAGGAGCCATGGGTTGGGGCTGGTAAAATTAAAGGCCTAAATAACCTAAAAGGTAAGTTATTCTACAGCTCTGAACACGACAAGCCTAGAGCGTGTATTTACACTACTAAAGATATCTGTGCACAACCTTTAACAGATTTCTGTTCTAGAGACATGTATGCCGTAGCAATACAGTACACACAGGAGAGTAGATTAGTCGTCGCCTCGGTCTACATGCCGGAGGAAGACACTCCTCCACCTCATGACCTCAGCAGGCTGGTGAACTTCTGCGAGAGGACCGGACTAGAGGTTGTGATCGGGACGGACTCCAACGCACATCATCCCCTTTGGGGAATGGAAAAACCAAATGAACGAGGTAAAGTTTTAGTTGAATATTTATTTAGTACTAACCTAACCATTTTAAACATAGGTTCTGAACCTACTTTCATAAACAAACGCTGTCGCACTATAATCGACCTCACACTTGCAACAGAAGGAGCAGCCAAACTAATTACGGGATGGCATGTGTCGAGAGAGGCCTCATGCTCAGACCATAGATGGATCTGCTTCGCACTACAGGTCGATATCCCCTCTACACCACCATGGAGAAATACCCGCAAGACAGATAAAACTAAATACCTAAATAGGCTGACGTCTTTGCTAGCGGATTTTGAGGGGATAAATACTATAGCAGATCAGTCGCTCCTAGAAGAACAGGTAGCAGCTGTTACTAAGGCCATGATAGACAGCTACCATGAATCATGTCCAGAAATCACTCCACCAAGACATGCCGAGGTAAAACAACCGTGGTGGGGTAAAGAACTCGATAGAAAACGTAAGAAGGTAAGAAAAGCTCTAAATAGGGCCATGAATACCTCAATGGATGAAGACTGGCTATTATATAAGAAAGCTAAGTCTGAATACAAAAAATGTATCAGGTATCGACGCTCGATTGGGTGGCGTAAATTCTGTGGCAACATAGAAACCTGCAAACAAGCAAATAGGATTAGGAATATTCTAGCTAAACAGAACACGTCGGGATCCATGTCTCTAAAGAAACCCGACGGTAGCTACTCAACATCGCCGGATGAAGCCCAACGCATCCTAATTGAAACGCACTTCCCAGGTTGCTGCGTAACCCAGGAGGCAAACCGGCATGACGACATACTGACATCAACAGCAGAAGACTGGAATTTAGCACAGAGAGTGGTAACGATGGACAAAATCCATTGGGCCATTCACAGTTTCCTCCCCTATAAGGCGGCAGGACCCGACGGCATATTCCCGGCACTCCTACAGTGGGGGGGTAAAGCCCTAATAGTCAGACTTGCTGCCATAATGCGAGCCTGTCTTGCTCTTAAATATGTTCCTAGGGGATGGAGGGAAGTGAAAGTTACATTCATACCCAAACCAGGTAAGAGCGACTACACTGACCCTAAATCCTACAGGCCCATTAGCCTCACATCCTTTCTCCTAAAGACGATGGAGAGGATGTGTGAAAGGGAATTAAGGGGGTCGGCGCTAATGAACTTACCACTACACGACAAGCAACACGCCTACAGTCTAGGCAAATCAACAGAATCGGCCCTTCATAAGGTAATTACAAAGATTGAAGAGGCCATCCAAAACAAAGAAATATGTCTAGGTTCCTTCATAGATATAGAAGGTGCTTTTGACCGAACGAACTTCTCCAGCATAAAAGGTGCACTCGGTAGACACAAAGTTGAACCGGCACTGATCGACTGGATAGTTTACATGCTCAGTACACGAATAATAAAGATTGCTGGTGAATCTCAACCAATCCAAATTAAGAAAGGCTGCCCGCAGGGTGGGGTTCTCTCACCTCTCCTGTGGAATATGGTCATTAATGAACTCATCAGCAAATTAAATGACAATCACTTCTATACAGTAGGTTATGCTGATGACCTGACAATACTGGTCTCTGGAAAGACAGCAAGCATAGTGTGCGACCTGACCCAAGCGGCTCTCCGTATAGTGGAGAGATGGTGCAGGGAACACGACTTAACTGTCAATCCAAATAAAACGGTTTTAGTTATGTTCACACAAAAACGAAAGCTGAATAACTATCATCCTCCAAGTCTTTTTAGCACAAAACTCCAGCTATCCTCTGAGGTAAAATATTTAGGTCTTACCTTGGACAGCAAACTTAACTGGAATAAACACATAGAAAACAAAATCAACAAAGCTAGTATAACTTTCTGGCAATGCAGAAACATGATTGGCAAAAGATGGGGATTGACGCCAAAAATCATACTGTGGCTTTACAAAACTGTAATTCGGCCCATGATCACATACGGCGCTCTGGTATGGTGGACCAAGACAAATGAAGCCACCATAATTAAAAAGCTTCAGCGCTACCAGAGACTGGCATGTATGGCTGCTACAGGCTGCATGAGAACTACGCCAACAGCAGCCTTAGAAGCGATGCTGGAGCTAACTCCGCTTCATCTACATATACAACAAGAAGCGACTTCAGCTGCCATCAGACTCAAGACCCTAAATCTTTGGAGTAAGAATAGTGTCCCTCATACAGGCATAATTGATAGAATTCACTCAAAAATTCCTATCCTACAAGCCAAATACGATAGGATTCCTAAACAATTTGTTTTCGATAAGAAATACAAGATACAGTTAAATGAAAACAGCCAGCCGGAAGGATTAAGCCCAAAAGAGCTTAGAATTTTCACCGATGGTTCTAAAACAAATGAAGGTGTAGGTTGTGGAGCTTTCTCTGAAGACCTCAATATTCACATATGCACACCGCTGGGTACCTATAACACGGTCTTTCAGGCGGAATGTATGGGTATCATTCAAGCGGCCATAGCAATAGATGCTAGGAAGGTTAATGACTTCCCCATCAGAATACTGACCGACAGTAGGGCGGTACTCCAAGCCCTGAGATGCAATGTGGTGAACTCGGGACTAATATATGAATGCCATCAACGATTAAATGAGGTATGTAAAAACAACAATGTGACCCTGCAATGGATAAAGGGACACAGTGGATCCAGAGGCAACGATGCAGCAGACGAACTTGCCAGAAGAGGATCGGCTTTGGCCACTATAGGGCCGGAACCGATCATACCAATCCCCTTTGGTAACGTTTGTTCACTGGTACGTAGACACTTTACTAATCAACACGCTCAGCTTTGGAAAAATCTAGTAGACTGTAGACAAGCTAGGGATGCCCTGCCTGAAATTAACAGTCGCTTAACAAAAGTTTTAATGAGACTGAACAAGCCGCAGATTAGGATAGTAACAAGTGCTATCACAGGACACGGCACCTTTAACAAACATTTATTTACTATAGGTGTTACAGATAGTCCCCTGTGCAGGGCATGTATGGGGGAGGAAGAAACGGCGGCCCACGTGCTACTGAAATGTCCGGAGGTCGCTACATACAGGGCTAAACATCTCGGCACGCCGGGATCACTCCCCGAAGTTGCATGCAACATCAAGGGCCTGTTGAGCTTCTTCGGAGAGATCTCATGGCTCGAATAATCACATTATTCCTGCCCACACGCAAAATACGCGCATAGACGTGGAGTTGCGGAAAACAGCCCGTCGTAAACTAAACTAAACTAAACTAACTGCGGTTGCCAACCCGCCTGCTAAGTATGACAATTTTTTAATATATTCCCCCCCCCCCCCCCCACTACCATCCCCAATGAGGCAATGTATGGGGGAAGCCTGTGTTCAGCTGTGGACTTTTGATAAGCTTAATGAATGATAAACTTCGCATCAGCAGGCCAACTGTCTGCACCTGACGTAGGGACGACCAGAGCATAGGACAGCACCCTCTTATGACGTTATTTCTCGTCACCAGTCAGGAAATTTTGTAATTGGTATATTTTATGAGCCGTAATAGTTCAAGCGCTGAGTGATCAAATTTCGCAGTACGCAACAACTCGGGTGTTATCATCACCGGCACCAACGAAATTGTAAATTGCAATTTTAAGTGCCGATTTACCACACGCTCGGCGGTGAAGGAAAACATTGTGAGGAAAACATGTCACGTTACTCCTGCACTAGGATTTACGCCTGTATCATGACAGTTTACATACATAAATTTCACAAGGACAAACATCCAGACGTGGAACAATTATTCGTAGGCCATACAAATACTTGTTCCGTGCAGGATTCGAACCCGCGGCCCTTGCGCTGCAAGTCATTGCTAAGCCACTGCACCACGAAACCGTCACGTTGTCTGAGAAATAAAATATTTCAACCAAGACGCACTGTCTCATTGCCCTCAGAAATGAGAGACCTGTTAGAATGATAGAAATGTTAAACATGCATTTTTATTTTTATACGTAATGTTTATAGCGCCATCTACCGGCAACTTCAAGATCTTTTACAGAAGTAAGTGTGACAAACTAGCACACAGTCCTCCTCTTGTTAAGTGATTGCTGTGGCCCATAGATATCTATATCTAGGGTTACCAGACACCCTCTATTTTAAAAGACATCCTCTCTTTCACACCCAAAAATTGATCATGTCCCTTAATTTCAAATCTCTGATAGAGGATATGGCAATATCGCGCGTATTCGACATTCTTTCTACTAATTGATGTCATAGAGATTAAGGTGACGCGCGATGTTAGAGAGACAAATTTTGTTACATTGCGTATTAACATTGCTTTTTTGATAAATAAATGTCGCTAATGATACTATAACGGCATTTTATTAAAAACAATATGGTATCCCCTATTTTTATCCCAAGTGCTTTATTTAACTTATCAAATCCTTTAACACGTAAAACGGGAACTGGCAACCCTGAATTCATCCATCCTTGTCTATGAATCAAAACACAAAGCTAAGATGGAATGCCTTTTTATCAGCAAATATGTTCTCTTAAGCTAAAATTTGAATATTGATAAATGGTTCATATCTGACAACTAGCGATCCGCCCCGGATTCGCACGGTTGATTTCTGGATCTCGACAACAACGCCACCTAGCGGGTTCAATTGTGAATATAACCCGTTCTCTAATCAACTTAATCACGCACACAAACTTTCATCAAAATCGGTCCAGCTGTTTACGAGTTGTCACGTACATAGGGACAGAAGAATTATATAATATGCATGTATTATATAAACTTCCTCCTTTCCTCTTGAATCATTCTGTCTATCGATAAAAACCGCATCAAAATCCGTTGCGTAGTTTAAAAAATTTAAGCGTACAGACGGCGGGAAGCGACTTTGTTTTATTCTTTTTTCATATAGGATAAGGGTGACAAATGAGCACACAGTCCACCTGATGGTAAGTGGTTGCTGTGGCCCATAGACATTTACATCTATCCTCGATTGCGAATCAAAATTCAGATGCGTTGTCACCCATGAGGGCAAAGATAGAAAGATAGAATGCCTCGTCGTACACAGCAGCATCTATTTTACGCTGGTATTCTGTGAGAGCGTCGTCCTTCCCCGGTCGAGCCGACCCGTTCGTGCTACAACTATATTAGTTGCAGCATGGCTCTACCACGTATAAAACTACTATGTAGAGATCTTAAAACTTACCTGTATTGTTTCAAGAGCAGCCAACCTCTGTCCTTCCGCCATACTGCCTTTCGCCGGCGACATGTAAATATTTAACAGTATGGGCAAGTAGTTCTTTGCAAATCGACCCAACTCATTCTTGTCCCCTTCATTATCAACCGAGCAAGCGATTAGCTTCCTTAAAGCCTGCATAATAGACTGTCGAAATTCCGGATTGTCCTTCAACACATTACCCAATACCCTGGCGATTGCTTTGAAACTTTCTTTAATATCCTTTGGGCTGTTACAAAAACTAGGCAATAAGGCCCATAATTGATTGCATAGTAAATCGTAAGTGTGGGCACGTGGAGTGTCATTCGATTGGGCGAATTCACGCGATTTTCGTCTGCAAAACGTTGCCATTTCTAATATTTCCGTCGCAAAGAATTTCAGATTAGAATTGACTATCTTCTCCCTCAGTACGGGTAGAAGCCAACTTCTCTCCAAGTTAATGTCTTCTCCGTCCCTCAGAGGTATGTGTCGTAAAACAAACTCAGGTCCCAAGGCCTTTACGGCACAACCAGTGGCATATTCTGCTTCCTTCTCGTGATGGAAGTTGTGGCTTTCTCTTCTTTCGTTCAATTTCTTCAACAGTGGTCCAAGAACGTGAAATAACTTTTCATTACCTATCTGCAAAGAAAGTTCATATTATTTTCCTAATAATATGTGACAATAAAATCACGTATAAGCTGTGCCAATATTTTTTTATAGAATAAGGGGGACAAACGAGCACACAGTCCACCTGATGGCAGGTGAATGCTGTAGCATGTGCAAATGCGTTGTCACCATGAAGCAAATACAAAGAGAAGACGGCATAAGCAACTGTGCACCGTGATTCTAAGTGGGTCCTGACGTCATCCAGTGGGCGTGGCTTTAGTTTACTGTCAGCATTTGTCCTGTGCGCTTATGTGTTGAAAATCGCAAATCGGTGTATTTTCGTAGTATTAAGAAGAAAAGAATGAAGTGTTGTGTTTTATCGTGTAAAAACTATTCAGATAGACGCTCTGATGCTATACACCTAATTTATTAAAATAGTTCTAGAAACATCTCTGGTCGACCTGGTAAGACATGCAGAAAGTTAATGGATGTTTGGGACCATGCTTTGTGGCATTCTTTGGGGAGGCCTATGTTCAGCAGTGAATTTGTGAGGGGCTGTAATGATGATGATGATGACATTATATTGATTTCTTTACTATCAAATCAATTATTATTATTTGCGTTTCTGTCCAGTTAAAAAAAAGTAATTTTATTTTTGCGTAATAATTACATTCAAGTAGATTTGCAGAGATTCAAAAAAGTTAAGATAAACATCAATGACCATGTTTTTATCAATTTTTCGATTTCTCAAAAAGTATAACTCTACATATTCGTGAAGTTTCATAGATCTAGCAAGAGTCTACAAAGAAAACAATAAATTATTCTTAAAGTAACAACTCACCTCAAAGCAAACTGCTATCGTCATAATAACATGTTTAATAGCTTGGTTGAACGGGTTATCCAGACCTGTGCCAATAGTCTTGAATATTGAGTCAATGTGAGTTTTGTGTTTTGTCAAACACTCTTCAGATTCGATGGCTAGCTTCACGCAGTCTAGAAGTATTGCCTAAATCGGAAAAATAATAAATTTATAAACTTTTAATAAAAAGTAAACGGCTTCAAAGAATTAAAACAATAAAATTTCACAGTGTGAAGTTGAAGCTATGACGGAATTAAAGTCCAGCCCGGCTAGCATGGGCGGGGGACAAAAATTTTATCCCCCGATTATATCCACTTACAAGAGATAAAATTATCTTGTTATGTCAAACGGGGAGAAGTATATCCCCGACTGACAAAACAAGTAGACATTTGAAAGGGATAATTTTATCCTAGTTCATTGGACGTGGGTTGAAGTTTATATCCATACAAAAAAATCTATCTAAGTCTAAGTCTATCTCCCAATTTATCTACTGTGGATATTATATCCACCGGTGTGCCCATGCTCTAAGGGTGGATAAAACTAAGCGAGGGGATAAACATTTCCTCCTTTCCCAGGTGATAAAATTGTCCCCCGCCCATGCTAGCCCTGCTGGTGTACTAAGGCATATCACAATTTCCTTCCATCCATCATATCTTAACATAAGCAAAATCTTAACATAGGAGATTTTGCCTTAGTTTCCACCCTTGGCATTCGGATTGGCGACCACAATTTTTTATTGCTGTTGTCCATCTCCTGTTTCAGTTTTCCTATGTCGTCTATTACGACACCAATGGGACGATATGGAGTAGTGGATAGTTATGTCATAAACTTCATCCACTGTTTTGCCATACAATATTTTAGGGGTGATTTTTTTCTCCAAATGATTGTTTTTTTTTTTATAGAATGAGCTTGACAAACGAGCACCCGCAGTGGATACTGTGGCCCATAGACATTACATTTATCTTCGATTAAGATAATTAATCAAAATGCAGATGCGTTGTCAACCCTGAGGACTACGATGGAATGCCTCGTTTCCAGTACAAAGGGTATCCGGTTCTCTACACTCACCATACGAAACACAGCAGCATTAAGCTGTTATTTTACGCTGGTATTCTATGAGAGCGTGGTCATTCTCCGGTCGAGCAGACCCATTCGTGCTACAACTATATTAAAGATGCAACGTGGCTCTACCACGTTAAAAAATGAATATGGTACCACCCCTGAAGAAAGAACTTATTTAATAAAAAAATTATCATCTAAATCGGTTCACAACGAAAACATTAACGAGTATATTATTAACATACATACAAAAAAAAACATAGAGTTGGATTGTAAACCTCCTCGTTTATTTAGTCAGCAAATAAATAGTTTGAAAGTGTTCAGTGTTATTGATATGAATAGTAAAGGCTCTTGTGTGGCAAGAATATATATGACGGGCCTCTTCTAAATGAAGTGATGTTGTGATGAGAGCAGGCAGTCAAATGACGCAGGTAATTCAGCAGTATGATGTGGCACTCGTTGGGGGAGGCCTGCAGCAATGATAATCATGAATTTAACCTTTAAACTGGACTAACCTTAAGTGCATTGGTGGAAGCTGAATTAATATCAGCGACATCTGACAGCCACAGTTCGGTCACGCAAATGTTGACGAATGGTGACACGTTGGATATGCACAGATTCAAGTCTAGTCTGTGGACAAATAAATCACTTGCTGAGTGAAATAATTAAAAAAATGATGCTTACTCTTTTTACAACAGAACTCACAAATGTTTTTGTCAGTGTCAAGTAAATTAAGATAGTATCCTTTGTAGTATTTTGTTGTAACCATTTGTTCAATTTTTTTTTCGTTTTATTAATCTCTAAGTTTTTCGAATAAAATATTTGCATTACTCTCTATCTGTTGGAGAAGTTTAATTACAATTGGTTTAGGCATTCACACACAAAAATTAAAAAAAACTTTTGGATGCTTTGTAGCACCCATGTACACAAGAAACTGAGGTAATTGACATCCCGATGTTAAAATCAACCCGGAGGACCTTCAGTTTTTTAATTATTAATTTTGATCTGATCTATGCAGAATAAGCTTTATCTCGCAGTGCTTGGGTTTAGCTCTAATTTTATTTATCAGGTACAAAAACGTCGGGAATCAAAAATAAGTAAAATTCAAATTCAATGTGTAGTGTTCACATAAATATAAATAAACATTATGTAAACCCATCTGCACAACACAAGTATAAGGCAGTTATGTCGATATTACAGACATACACTTCAATTTTTTATATGTATAGATATAGATATTAATTAACTGATAGACAAAAGTTCTCACCGTGCTAGGCAGCATAACGCCTGCTGTAGCACAGCTGCCCAGGCCAAACTCTGCCCCGTGTCAGTGGCAGCCGGTCTGGCAGCCAAAAGTGCCCTTGACAACTGGGCTGCCAGGGTACTTGTCAGGTTGCTGGTTTCTCGCGGTGATGAGAACAGCGCGTGGAGAGTATGCATGCAGCAGGTTTTGATGTATATATTGTTATGTGTCATTAAAGATAGGATAGCTTCGCAGATTGTCTGAAATTTTAAATTTATTTTAGAACTTCTGGTGATTTAGACCTTTGTTAGGGCCTAGGAGAAGCAGGCAGGTTATGTTACAAGTCGTAACAACGAGGACAACAACCATAGGGATCAATGTCCTTTTGGCAGGCCAAGGGAAGCAGACATTATGTTAGTCTTACCAATGAGGGCCATTCTTTTGTTTTCTTGTTTTCTGAAAGTGTACGCTGTTAGCTCTGCGGCCTTGACAACTTCATCGAATTAGGCTCGTAAGCGAGGACCTACTAGTTATTGAGTGCAACGATTCCCGACGCACCCCAACCCCTGCTTTCGGAGTGAGGTTCCTCAAGCTAGAGGGTGCTCGATGCGATTCAATGGCCCCTCACATGAAGGTACGAACCTCGGCTTGAACCACTATCGCTATGTTGGTTACGAGGACTATGGAAACCAACATCCTTTTTTATAGGCATCCACACTTTGATTTTTAACCGAGGATAGATGTAGGTGTCTATGGGCCGCAGCATCCACTTACCATTAGATGGAGTGTATGCTCGTTTGTCTCCTTTACTTATATAAAAAATATTTTTAATGTTATCATTGTTCAATGAATTTTTTATTTTTGTGATAGACATACAACCATACTAGATGGACTTTTCTACTTCGGATTCCGTCTGACACCACACTTTTACCCATTTCTGCCGCCAAATAGTAGTGCTTGTACTGCTGTGTTCCACTCTCAAGAGTGTAAAGAGCCAGTATTACAAGGTATTCCAGTTTAGTATTCAGAGGTGATAACGCATTCGTATCGTCCTTTATTTGAAATTTACTGTAAGTGTCCATGGACTATTTTTTTTTATAGTATAAGGATGACAAACGAGCACACAGTCCACCTGATGGTAAGTGGTTGCTGTGGCCCATAGACATCTACATCTGTCCACGTTTGCGAATCAAAATGCAGATAAATTGTCACCCCTAAGGAATGCCTTGTTTCCAGTAAAAAGGGTCTCCAGTTCTCTACACTCATCATACGAAACACAGCAGCTTTAAGTTGCTATTTTACGCTGGTATTCTGTGAGAGCGTGGTCCTTCCATTCGTGCCGACCCATTCGTGCTACAACTATACTATTAATATAGCTGCAGTATGGCTCTACCACGTATATATATAGTAGCCTCTTACAATGGTGGACTGGAAGATCTTTTGTCAATTCCGCATTTTCAGTTTCTTCTCTAACTCACACGCACGCACACACACACACACACACACACACACACATACACACACACACACACACACACACACACACACATGCACGCAAACACGCGCACACATTCACACACACACAAAAAACACACAGATACGCGCACGCATGCACGCGCGCACGCATACACACACACACACACACACACACTGATAATTTGTTTGAATGTTGTATAGTTTGTAAGGCCACACACTTTCAAGAAGTAGAGTTGTAGTTAATTATTGAGTACGCCAAAAGGAAAAGATCACCAAAGTTAAAGTTTAATAAAAGTAAAATAGTTATAAAGTTAGAGTGGCAAATCTTTCCTTGAGCAGTTGGTGTTTAGAAGGACGGTTGTTGACGTACTGACGATTGTGAGAATGCAATTAATTAAGTCAATTTAAAAACACGCGACGCGCGGCTAAAAGTAGGTTGCAGCGTTTACTAAATAAAAATGTGTGGTGTAACCATACAAATGTATACAATATTTTAATAAGTAAAATAAAAAAAATATTTTTAATACTTTTTTATAAATTAGTGTTTATTTTTTTTAAACTAGACTAAGATAAGAAATAATTTAGCTTTTTTAGTTTTATAAAAAAAGTTTTTGTTTCATTAACACGTCGTATATATTTCGCCGTTTGTAAATAAATTAAAATACTCACCTTTATGTAATCTTTGCTGAATACGGACAAGACGTCCCGCAGCATTGTCAGTATGTGAAGGACGGAACGGTGACCAGACAGAAGCGCCTCAGGCTTTATTTGTGACAAGCAATATTCGGCAACTCTATTTGATGCTGGATGTAACTTTGGAACCTGTTTAAACAATAGACAATATATATATATATAACACTATATACTGTGTTCTATCTATAGCTGTTTCGTCAAGATCAATGATTTAAAGTTTCACTTCAAAAATTATAAGGGATGAAACCTATCTAAACATTAAACATTATCCAAATACAAATTATTAGTAATTTTTTATATAGAACAAGGATAAAAAATGAGCACACAGTCCACCTGATCGTAAATGGATACTGTGGCTCATAGACATCTACATTTATCCTCGATTAAGAATCAAAATGCAGATAAATTGTCACCCCTAAGGAATGCCTTGTTTGCAGTAAAAAGGGTCTCCGGTTCTTTACACTCACCATACGAAACACGGCAGCATTAAGCTGCTATTTTACGCTAGTATACAGTGACAGCTTGGTGTTACCCCGGTCGAACCTACCCATGCGTATAACCATAATATAGCTGCAGCGTGACGCTACCACGTAAAAAATCCTAATATATATTATAGAAATCATAAGTTTTTTGGTATATCCCATGGTTGCCTCTTACTATGGGGCAAAATGTGGTGAAGGAGATTAATACTTCGTCACCACACAGCAACGGTTTTTCTAGATTATTACTCTTCTCAGTCTACTTCTATGCATTATAATATCTTAGCATCTATTTTATAACATGAAATTATTTGTTTCTTTTTAGAATTTTAAAGATCCTACTGTAGGACACCTAATACTTTTTAAAATGAGAACAAAAAATCAAAAAATTGGTTGAACAAAATTTTGTACAATCGACTTCAATATAAAATTTTTAAGTATAACTCAAAAACGATTGATCAGACCTTTATCAATTTTATGGGACCACATGAGAAGAACCAGCTTTCAAATAAAAAAAGAATTATCAAAATCGGTTCTTCCAGAAAAAAGTTATGAGGTAACACACATAAAAAAAACTTGCAGTCGAATTAAATACCTCCCTTTTTTTTGAAGTCAGTAGAAAATGATGCTCATTTCAAAAAGTAATCATACCTTTGCCTTTTCATCTTCTGAAGGGAGCATGAAACAACTGCCGCGTAGGATCGCTGTAACTGCGTGTTGCGCTGCTTTTCGTACCTGTATAAGAATATAACAACAGTCTTTATGAAAGTAAAACTATATTAGATTGTTTTTTTTTTTGACAAACGAGCACACAGTCCACCTGATGGTAAGTGGTTGCTGCGGCCCATAGACATCTACATCTATCCTCTATTACAAATCAAAATGCAGATGCGTTGTCACCCGTGAGGACTAAGATGGAATGCCTCATTTCCAGTAAAAAGGGCCTCCGGCCACCTGCACTCACCAAGCGAAACGCAGAGGTAAACCTCTATTTCACGCTGGTATTCTGTGAGATCGTGGTACCATCCCGGTTCGAGCCGGCCCATCCGTGCGACAGCAAAAGCCGCCACGTGGCTCTACCACTGTTAAAAATACCGTAAAAATGTTGCCAAATACCGGCTAGAATGTTTTAAACAAAATAATAATATATACATTTTCAATATATTAGGTACTAGCTGTTCCCCGCGATTTCGCTTGCGTGGAATTTACTACGATTTCATGGTATTTACATTTAATTTTTTTTTGCGCGGAACATTAATTTGTTTTCTAAAATAAAAGTAGTTAAAAGTAGTAAGTTACTCCTTATAACATCAGCTATGAGCGTAAAGAAAGCTTCTATTGGCGACGTAGGAAAACCCCACTGCTAGTTACAACCCATAGATTATTTAAAGAAACTCGTATATTTTCAAGTCCTTACTTAGAAATTTTTTCACTCAATTCGTGGATTAAAAAGTTGGATTTATCTGATTCTATAATCCCTCAAATAGAATTTGTTAACGCACCTAAACATAATTACAATCCCCTTTACTTCCAAACTTTATGTCGAAAACATTTAACTGAAAACTTTACAAATTACTATAAAATATATACCGATGGCTCTAAAGATAAAGAAGGAACGGGTGCTGCATTTTTAGACATTCAAACCAAAGAATAAATTAAGCTCTGCTTAGGTAAGGAAATTTCAGTTATGCATGCGGAACTCATCGCAATTGCGGAAGCCTTATCTTATGTCAAATCACTTAAATATGATAAATTGTTGATATTAACTGATTCTCGCAGTGCCCTTCAACATTTAAAAAGATGTACTTTACTGTCTCGCGGTTTTCCATTGGCTTACGACATATTAAGTAATATTTTAACATTAAAATCGAACCATAAAAGGATAGTCTTACAATGGGTGCCTTCTCATATTGGTTTAAAGGGAAATGAGGCGGTAGACGTTCTTGCTAAAGAGGCGATAAGTGATGGGGATAATTTCGATTGTGTTTCTAACCATAAAAGGATAGTCTTACAATGGGTGCCTTCTCATATTGGTTTAGAGGGAAATGAGGCGGTAGACGTTCTTGCTAAAGAGGCGATAAGTGATGGGGATAATTTCGATTGTGTTTCTAACCATAAAAGGATAGTCTTACAATGGGTGCCTTCTCATATTGGTTTAGAGGGAAATGAGGCGGTAGACGTTCTTGCTAAAGAGGCGATAAGTGATGGGGATAATTTCGATTGTGTTCCTTATTTCTCCGAACTCTTATCTAAAGTCCGAGAAAACTGTACAGAAAAGTGGTCCGAATACTTTGATGAAAGGTCACTGTCAAAAGGTATTTGGTATAAGACGATACAACCGCATCTTTCCCGTTTCCTTTGGTTTGAAGGATGCAATATGGGAAGGCAAGAAATTATTAAAGCAATGAGGCTTCGTTCTGGACATATTCCATTAAAAAAATTTGCGTTTATGATAAAAAAAGTGAATTCACCAAATTGTATCAAATGTGGAGTTCTGGAAGATACTATCCATATTATGATGGAATGTGAACGGAACGAAGCACATAGAAAACTATTAGGTTTTGACAAAAATAGTGTTGGATTGTATAATAGTATTTTAGCTTTTCCATTGTCGGATAAGGCTAGAAAACTTTATAAACTAGTATTGTTAGGTATTAAGAACAGATAATTTTTTATTATTGTTTACGTGAATTTATCATTGTTGATTATATTTTTTTTTATAGGATCGGGTGACAAACGAGCACACAGTCCACCTGATGGTAAGTGGTTACTGTGACCCATAGACATCTACATTTATCCTCAATAAAGACTCAAGATGCAGATGCGTTGTCACCCGTGAGGACTAAGATGGAATGCCTCTTTGCCAGTAAAAAGGGTATCCGGTTCTCTACACTCACCATACGAAACACAGCAGCGTTAAGCTGCTATTTTGCGCTGGTTTTCTGTGAGAGCGTGGTCCTTCCCCGGTCGAGCCGACCCATTCGTGCTACAACCATAATATAGCTGCAGCATGGCTCTACCACGTAGTAAAATGTGTATAGTATCAATATGTATTTGATTGTGTACCTATGAGTGTGACATGATATAATAGATCAAACCCTCTATAATCAATAAAGATTAAAAAAAAAATAAATAACATCAGCTATTTGCCAGTGAAAGTCACGTCAAAGTCCGTTAAGCTGTTTCGGAGATTACCTGGAACAAACAGACAGACAAAAATTTTAAAAATTGTTTTTTGTTATTAGTACCGTATATACTTTTATGGCTTAGTGCAAAAACTCGTTAACTACAAAAAATCACTTAGTACAGTTTATAATACCACTGAGCTAGTCTCGATAAGTTCTATATTATACAAAAACTCATTTATTTCTAACTTATCAAATTTGGACGTTATAACCTAGCTTTAAAGTCGATAATTACAATTTTGGTTAACCTGGTTCTTAGAAACTCGGTAAAGTACAAAAATAGTTTTTAACAAATAAAAAAAAAATGGTGCATTTTTTTGTAATACAAAGGTCATATATGTGACTTAATAACTTTTTAAGCCACACGTTACGCACATCACTTAAGAACAGCATTTGGTTAAAGTTCATTAGGTGCACATAATGACTTATTTGATGATTTATGACAAAAAAAAACCATATATAATTTTAACGACTTCTGTTACTACGAGTGACGGTCATTATTTACAGTTTTAATTTAATCAAAATTACTTACTTATAGCTTCTTAGTTTTACGAAATCTATTCATTTTTATACAAATTAAATACAGTTAATTACTTTTGATATACTTCGGTGAACACTCCATGAATTAATGAATTTATGTTTACGTACGCGCGTTCTATAAACTCACGTCGGAACACGGTGCCGTGCATGTAGGTAGGAGGCGGGCAGGTAGGGTTGGGTCGTGGCGCTTCTTGCGAACCGAGCGACCACGGAGCAAATACAAAGAGGAGATGGCATAAGCAACTGTGCACTGTGATTCTAACTAGGTCCTGACGTGATTATAGTGGGCGTGGCTTTGCGTAGTATACTGTCAGAGTTCGTCCGGTGCGCTTATGTGTCAAAAATCGCAAATCGGTGTATTTTCTGCCGACTTCCAAAAAGGAGACGGTACTCAATTCAACTGTATTTTTTTTATTTTTGTGTTACCTCATAACTTTTTACTGGGTGAACCGATTTCGATGATTACTTATTTTATTTGAAAGCTGGTACTTCTCGTGTGGTCCAATATGAATTTGATCAAGTTCAGACCAATAGTTTTTGAGTTATTCTTAAATAATTTATATTGAAGTCGGCTGTACAAAATTTTTAATTTTAAATTATCGTAGTACTAAGAAGAAAAGGATGAAGTGTTGTGTTTTATCGTGTAAAAACTACTCAGATAGACGCTCTGATGCTATGAACGGCATGACATTTCATTTGTAAGTACTTTTATACCTAATTTATTAAAAAGGTTCTAGAAAAATCTACGCGTTGGCTTTCAAATGTAATTAAATATATTCGACACTAGATGGCGACACTTTATGTCATGGGACCTAAAATAAAGTTACGTAGAGATCAATATTGGTAAAATAATCGTACGAAGGTGTTGAAATTTGTTTTGCATTCCATCCTAAACAATTTTTAATCGCCAAAATATTATATTTATAATTTTTATAATCATGTTGTGAACAGGTCGCCATCTATCGTCTAGCTTGCTAAACTACATTGCAACATCGATATGGAACGATGCAAGTAGTTTTACTATTTATCGGTAGATGAAAAATAGCTAAGTGGGCGGAGCTTAACACCCCTCTCCCCGCAAATTATCACGCGTTGTTACATATTGAAATCTAATTATAACACCTCCTCTTTGTATTTGCACGTGTGTACGTTTTCATAAGGGTTGATCGGTAGGCAAAAACGTTGTTGCCCATAAATAACATTTAATTTGAGATACTTTCAAATAAAAGTAGAAGCCTTATTTACTCGTATTTTCAAAAACTGTGGTATATCATTATGTATATATTTGATCTTAAGTTTAAAATTTGGCTACTCTGAAAAATAACCCTGTATAGTCTATATTCCTCCTGGCATTGCTCTCTATCTGTTAGTAAAGTTTCATCACAATTAGTTTAACCATTCTAAACATTAGCCTCGACAGACAAATATCTATATACGTGGTAGAGCCATGCTGCAGCTATATTAGTAGTATAGTTGTAGCACGAATGGGTCGGCTCGACCGAGGAAGGACCACGCTCTCACAGAATACCATCGTAAAATAGCAGCTTTACACTGCTGTGTTTCGTATGGTGAGTGTAGAGAACCAGAGACCCTTTTTACTGGAAAAGAGGCATTCCATCTTAGTCCTCACGGGTGACAATGCATCTGCATTTTGATTCGCAAACGAGGATAAATGTAGATGTCTATGGGCCACAGTAACCACTTACCATCAGGTGGACTGTGTGCTCGCTTGCAACCCTATCCTATAAAAAAAATTAAAAATGGTTATTTATGTGTATTAATAGCAAGCAAATAACCCCTTGAGCTTAATAAATGCCAGATATTAAAATTTTATAATCACTTCAATTTTATTTATATGTATAGAGATATGCAGGAAGTCGATGGATGCAGTGATTCGTGACTGTGCTTTGCGGCATTCCTTGGAGGAGGTTCAGCAGTGGACATGTGAAGGGCTGTAATGATGATAATGATGTATAGAGATAACAAAATACAATATGACAGTTTTACCTTTGGCTTTGAATGCAATGAAAACGCCAGGACGGAGTCAAACACTTTCATGGTTGAAGAATCACCCCATAGAGCATACTCCTGTGCTCTAAGCAACACAGAAAGGCATCCTATTGCGCTCCTTAATAATGTACCATTGTCACTCTGCGCATTCTTCTCCAGTAGCTCAATGAATATTGATGCGGAATCTGAGAACTGTTTTCTGAGTACAGCTTGGGGAACCGATTTGATGCCCATTGATAGCAGTGACAGGGTTGCCACTAGACTGCTATCATCCTCCGAAGCTTTTAAGGTTTGCATCTGCAATAAAATATCATGTTGAGCCCTCATAACAAAAAAAATATGGTAATTAATAGAATCAGTCATTTACTTTGCGGACATCTTTAACATTAAAGACGTTAAAAATAAATCAGCTAAGTAGACTTTGCGGTGGCCACCGCTATCATCAGAGTTTACTTCACGTGAGGATGCCTCGTTTAGAGGCGAAACACGTGACGTATTGTCGATGGTGGTGTGTCTTTCCTAGTGTAGTGGTGTTGGAAATAGTTGTACTGGGATCAGGGTGACGACGGGGATAGTGCACGCAATTGAGGGAGGGCAGAAGGTGCCCTTCGAACTAGATAATACATATAATGATTTCTTATATTTTCGCGAAGACTACACATTAAATGAAACTAATTTTTTACGAATTTTATCGCGTTTAATTAAACTTTTTAACTACTTTCAGTTTTTTAATATTCAAAAACTGAAGGTAGCGGGGTAACTATGACATTGAGACGTCAAACACCTCAGTCCCCCTGTGACCATGGTTTCTGTAAAGCACCCGAAGCGTCGGGAATTAAATATTTTAATTAAACGCGATAAAATCCGTAAAAATTAGTTTCATTTAAATACATATAATTTTATTATATTACACAAATGTTAGCTAATTAACTTTTAACATCTTATTAACAGTTAAATTGTCAGGTTCAACATTCGACATTCAACAAAAGGAAACAGACGTACAATAATAATTGTATATTTTTAGGACAAATTAATACACATTTATATCAAAAATTAAACATACCAATGCCGCAAAATATTCTGTAGTAGTTTCCTTGCCACCCTGTTCCTTGATGACCTCAGTCACTGCAGCTAATACAGCAAGCATCTCTTTATGGACAGCATTGTTGGAATCAAATCTATTTAACAACCTGAGAAGGAAATACACATATAATTGTATTTATTTGTTTTATTATTATTAGTATTACATATATATAATTGTTGGTGCGTTGGAGGTGATATATTACTTTTGAACAGTCAGTCAGCCAGAACAGAACAATGTTAATGTGAATATCCTTATAATGAAATCTTTCATACAGAGAAACTCTTGAGCATAGCCCTCTCAATCGCTTGCTGAGCTACCTTAAGCTTCCTCATAGGACCTTCATTGACAGACCATATTCATATATGTCATGACTGTATTTAACTGTTTGATTGTACTTAATAACTTACTTGCTAAAACTGACATTGGAACATTGACTCCAATCAGATGCGAACGTCTGAAATGTTTTGAATGTACCAGATCTCATGGATCCAGTGTACTCAGTCTCAGAATCCTCATCTCCAGTCTTCACAGACATATTCTCAAACTCCTTTGCTATTGTAAGCTCATTTTCTCCATCTGATTTTTGTTTACCACTGCTGTGACCATAGATCATCATGGCATCATGTTTTAACACAGCTTGCTGGGTTAACCCAGTGCTTCCTAGAAACAGTAAACTATTTAATTGAAAACACTTTAGAAATTGAAGGTTATTTTAGTATTTACTGGTTAGTTTAGTATTTACTGGTTAGATTAGTAAAGCAAATTGTTCTGAAATTAAATTTCCTAGTATTGCATCTGGTTGAAATTCAACCATTTAATTAATTGGTGATTTCTTTTTACAGAATCAGGATAACAAAATTAGCAGACAGTCCATCTGATAGTAAGTGGATGCTGTGGTCCATATTCTACAGATAAGATTTAGAATATACAAGCATTATCACCCTTGAGGGGTGAGATAGAATGCTATGTAACCAGTAAAAAGGGTCCCCAGTTGACTGCACTCATCATACAAAACACAGCAGCATCTTTTTACTACCTGCTATAATGGCGAAAAACACAAATTGTTTATTTTCTGCCGACTTCCAAAAAGGAGATCAGCTCAATTCGACTGTATGTTTTTTTTTGTGTTACCTCATAACTTTTTACTGGGTGAACCGACTTCGATGATTCTTTTTTTTTTATTTGAAAGCTGGTACTTTTCGTGTGGTCCCATATGAATTTGATCAAGGTCAGACCAATAGTTTTTGAGTTATCTTAATAACTTATATTGAAGTTGGCTGTACAAAATTTTTAATTTTAAATTATCTATACATCTGTTAGCTAGTACCGTTTGAAAGCTACAAATTCAATTTCCCTACTTTCATTACAAATACAAAAAAAAGTCAACAAATTTTGATGTTCACATATTATATTTGTTTTTTCATTCATTCACATAATTTTTTTTCATTTTCATACAGGTATATTTGCCATAGTTACAACTTTTAATGGATAAAATGGTTAGGCTAAATTATGCATTTTTTTTTGTTATTGTTTTTGTGAGTAGTTTACTCAATTCCTGGATTACTTTAAATTTGCATAAAGTGGGATGTGAAAGTAATATGAGGCATGTTTTAAATTTTTTTTAATTTAATTAGCAATTCTTATCACCATTTTGTAACTTTATGAAGATATTAGGCTGTAAGCCTTCCTAAGATAAATAAATAAATAATAATCACTACACCTGTAGGTTGTTTGAAGTTAACTGTGTCTATGGACAGCAATGGCCACTCACCAATCAAAGGGCTAATGTATCATACTATTTCTTACTACTGACAAACAATGTGTCACATTATTTTTATATTTAATTAATAAAGATTATATTACAAGGATACTTATTGAAAGTCATTTAAGCTTTACCACTGGATTTCACCATTTTTCTAAACATTAATTTACAATATAATATTTTATTCAATAAACTCATTTCTGAGAGGGATTTGTGTAAGGAAATGTCCACTGTGCCCCAACGCATGTTGGCAAACTTCTCATGTCTTAGAAATTTTTTTTTTCTTATATCTTAGATATGCAAGTTTCCTCACGATGTTTTCCTTCACCGCCAAGTACATGGTACATCAGCACTTAAAATTGCAATCAACAATTTCATTGGTGCCATTGGGATCGAACCCAGGTTGCTAGCATGTCTGTGAAACTGTGAAATTTCAATTGCTAACCATCTGAGCTACCAAGGCTCTTTAGTAGTGTAATAACCCTTATTAAACATGTTTATTTACTGAAATTTGTGAACTTTTTGATAGACAGATCCTGAATATTTTCTGGAACTATGCTGTAAAACCATATAAATAGCCTCATGAAAGAATTACTGACTCCTTAGAGTTGAGTAACTGGTATAATTAGCTTGGGCCTGTCCCTAGTATTTACAAAATGTACATCACAATTTTTAATAAAACTATTTTCGTTTTTGTGTACATAAATTAAATTTTCGTAAATAGTTAGATAAATTTTCTCTAAAAGATTCCTTTGAACGTAGCTGATAAATTGCTCTTATGGCTTTCTTCTGTAAAACAAAGTTTTAACGTCTGTCGCATTTCCCCATAGCAAAATTCCATGACAATATTATGCTATTGAAATAATTATAATAAACTAATCTAGCTGTTTCAATACATATAATCTAGGTTTGCTTGCAGCCCAATATATGTAAATTAACTTTAGTTTACATATATTGGGCCGTACTGAAGCTTCGCGTCAACTATACTTCCGAGAAATTTTTTTAAAATATTGGAATGGTAAAAAAATATGATAATAAAAGTTGGTTATAAATATAAAAATATTTATGACTTTCTTTTTCTTTGATTCAAAATGTTATCCTCATTAGACTTGATGGATTAAAATGATAAAAAATGGTAAATATTATAGAATTTCACTCAAAAGCGCATACAAGTATAATATAAAATAACTATACCAAGATTCTCTTGAAAAAACCGGGATTTTGCCATTTCTCTGTACTTTTGCGATTTTGGATTTGAATTGGAAGATTGACCTTTCTGCCATCTTTTACCCTTTGATTTTCCTTTAAGTTTAGACCTAAATTTTCCCATTTTTAAGATTATCTTCCACTAAAGATTGTATGGAATACACAAAAACACGTGTTCTGAAAGATTAGATTAGACATATGAGAATGACAAGCATATGTCAAATGTCAACGTTTTGTCAATGTCATTGATTTTTTTTATAACTGGCTTAACGGCTCTGGGTTCTAGCCCTTCTGAGCCTGAAGTTACAATGTATAATTATACTTCATAGTACACTACTTCACAATATGTTGATGCGTCACATTATGCATCCCTTGGGAGATTTTGATGGCAACTTGAGCCAGCAGGTAGCTGACAATTGGCAATGGTATTTCAAGGCGCCTAAACAGACACGTAAGAGAACAGACAAACAAACAAACACTTAACAGACCTTGTAAGACATGCAGGAAGTCGATGGATGCAGGTGGCTCAGGACCGTGCTTTGTGGCATTCCTTGGGGGAGGCCTATGTTCAGCAGTGGACTTGTGAAAGGCTGTAATGATGATGATGAATGAGGAAGCAGACACCTTATCTTGAGAATCAAATCACCATCAGAGCACTTGTTTCACTGTTTCCACTAATAGTTCACATGCATAGAACCTTACTACACAAAATTGCACCACCTTTATATATCAAAGTCCACTTCAAACCATTATTTAAACAATAATACAGGAGCAGCAAACCGCCGCAAGTCAAGTTTCCACCAAAAACTCCCTCGATGTCATTGATAAAGTTGGATAAAGTCAAGGATAAAGTAGTTTGTAATGTTGTTTGTTGCTCCATTCGCAAACATTTTCTTTCTTTGGTCTATTGCCACCATGAAATTATCCTTAATAACAATATGTGATGGATCACATTACGAAGTTTTTTGGAACTTTTAAGGGCAGCAACAGTCAGTCAATGACAATAGTATCTCAAGGCGCCTAAGCAGTAAGCAGACACAATAACTTGATGTTCATATCACTATCGGTGTACTTATTTCATCGTTTCCACAGATCGGAATCCATTTTAAACAATAATTAAAACAATACTATAGGAACAGTATGGCCGTAAAATTTCTACGAAAACTTTCATTCTCAGGGCAAGGAACTTTAGATTAGATAAAGTTATCTAAACACGATTCTTCTATGCCCGTTTTCATAGTTGCCTCTGCGCTTTTTTTATATGGAAATGTTTACACATACGCGTGGGTCGGATTCACACCAACTAAAATCTCATTTTGATACTCATTCGTCTCATTTCCGCATTTCCTATATTATATTTCTCGTTGCTCACGAGTGTAATTCTCGTTCTCATTGAGTATTAAGTGTTATAGCTTACGTTAGTACGTAACTTGTATTGTGGTGTGATTGTGTGTGTTCAAAATTATCACTCGAGAGTGAGAGTGCTTTGTGGTCCACTTATTAGTTAGTGGCTGTGTGGCTAGTTGTCGAGGGCTAAGAGAATAAAACTGCATTTTGTAAAGCATGTAATGCCTATGTATGAATGTAATGTAGAGTGCTTTGTGGTCCACTTATTAGTTAGTGGCTGTGTGGCTAGTTGTCGAGGGCTAAGAATATAACACTGCATTTTGTAAAGCATGTAATGCCAAGCTAAGAAAGACCAATTTTTCACAGATAAATAAAGACCGACAACTTTTTTGGAATTATGGGGCATTGCGGGATTGTGCCTACCTATGAAGTTCTTTCTACATGTGACAATGTCGGCATAATTGAACTTTAAATAACAATTTTTTACGGGTCATGTGTGAAATGCTTATAGGTTTTCTATTTATTTTCAAAATGTATTTACTAAGACCTTCGAGTTATTAACGACAAACACGACTACTTTAATATTTTAGGTGTCACATTTCTTTTTTTCACGAAACATCTTTTACTGACGAATTCATGAAGGCTGTAATAGAAATATAACGTGCATTAATAATTTCTGACGAACAAAAGATGCCTTAATGACCTAAACTAAAATGTCTATATATTTATCATAATATTTATTTTTTGATAAGTGTTATAAAATGACATTCTATCCATACAGATTGTCGTTTGTTATTAAATATTGTCTGTGTAAATCAAAGAGTAATAATAGTAAATTAATATGACTACTAGTGGTTTCGCTGAGTAGAGACATTGGACAAAGTATCATTCTTTGTCCAAGGTTTAGCTCATAGGTTAAGCACATACGCAATAATTATTGATTAATAATACGTATTAAAGCACAGAGAGTTCAATATTTAGTAAGCTAATGTACTCTGTCTGTGATTTAGCATTTTCGGTAAAAAACCGGTTTTACTAGTTTTTGTTTTTAAACTGGTAGAATCGTAGATTTAAATGTGGTCACACTGCCTACTAATTTTAATTTAATTTCATTCAATTTCGCATTCTTGTTTCATTGTCGTTCCTTTTGTTTGTAAATAATAACGGCTGGAAATAGTACGCAATGTGAAATGCGTGTACCTAACACGGATTCCGCGACCCGCCGCACATTACGTAAACGTTAGGTGTTGTAAATAACTTGAAACTATGTTGAAACAATTATCATAACCTATCACTTGTGTTTTGTAATGTTTTATTTGACTGTGTAATTATGTAAAGAAGTGATGCCGCCTTTTAGGAGAAAGAAGGCTTCTAAGTCATTCCCAGTCAAAGTTTGTACTTTGGATGCAGAGTTAGAGTTCAACCTTGAGGTGAGAAATCCGTCGTTATGCGCTTACATGCCTTTATTGTTTACTGTTATAATTACCGAATGCTAATACAAATTAACACAACAAGCAGATTATGAGTCATAGTTTGACCCCGGGACCACATAGCACGACATTTGCTGCGTTACGTGTTTAGATAGAGGACAATAACAGCAATAGTGTAAATGTAAACATTGTATAGATAACAAATTCCTTTTATAGAATCAGCTCCCGTTATTATTCTGGATGAAAAAATATATCATCTATATCATGAACATTCATATTATTCTTATGCTTGCTCCAAAGCAACCACTTTGTGTTTCAAAATTTCCTAAACATGCATTTATTTTATTTATTTTTGCTTCTTATTAAAAAAGGAAAAGATATGTTTCAGGTGTTGAGCATAAATAAAATCTTATATCTAGTCTAATAAGTTTGCTGTATGTGTTATAGTAATAAGATTGTTTTGTCTCACATTTGTATTTATTTTTTAAAGATCAAAATAGTTTGCAAGTGCAATTTTTATTGATTTTGTTATCAAAAAGATGTTGCTGCCCATATCCTATTTCAATTCCCCTCTGTCGTCTCTTAAGATACTGGGATAATATTATAGTGTAGTAGATTGGATTCTCTTACAAGGACTTTACACAGCTCCAACAACTCTTACTATTATTTAATTTTAAATTATAGTAAGTTTAATCTCTTCACTATATTTAAGTGGTAGAGTCACTTTGCAGCTATATTGTGACTGTAGCACAAATGGGTCGGCTCGACCAGGGAAGGATCACACTCACAGAATACCAGCGTAAAATAGCAGTTTAATGCTGCTGTTTCATATGGTGAGTGTAGAGAACTGGAGACTTTTTTACTGGAAACGAGGTATTCCATTGTGTCCTCGAAGTGACAACATATCTGCATTTTTATTCTTAATCATTATTAATAATAAAAATGGTTGTTTTAAATTGTTACAGTGGCGTGCAACTGGACGTGACCTTTTTGACCTGGTGTGTAGAACCATAGGTCTTAGGGAAACATGGTTCTTTGGACTGCAGTTCGAAGATACAAAACACTTTATAAGTTGGTTGAAATTAGACAAAAGGGGTAAGTCTCTTCTTAAGATTAAATAAATTAAACACAAGGTGAAATAGATGATATGATGTAAGAAAGGGTTGAGCAGGTTCCATATTTTCTTGGGTGTTTGCTTCACTGTGATATCAATCAATTATTGCTATATGTAATTTATTTAAATATATAAAGTTACAGCCTATATATGTCCCACTACTGGGCACAGGCCTCCTCTCATTCCTGAGAGGGTTTTAGGGCAAGGAAATGTATGCCGCGCTGCCCCAATGCGTGATGGCGAACTTCACATGTCTAAAATATTTTTATTGCTCAGATATGCAGGTTTCCTCACTTTTTTTTCTTCTTTAAAAAAAAAACGTTATTCCCCCACTAGGATTTTCTCCTGTATCGTAGAGGCAGTTTACAAACATAAATTGCACGAGGACAAACATCCAGGCCCGGAACAATTATTTGTAGGCCATACAAATATCTTGTTCCATCAGGGATTCGAACCCACGGCCCCAGCTCAACAACTCATTGCTAAGCCACGGAGCTGTCATTTTGTTTTCCTTCACTACCAAACATGTGGTAAATATATATTAGTAATTAAATTAATCTTATTAATGTATTTTGCTTTCTGATGGAAATGTAAGAGAGTCAAGAGTCAAGTCAAGTCAAGAGTGTAAAGAGTGGTTGTAGGAAGTACTTAGGGGAAATGCCAAATAATTATTCATCATCTTGTTAACTTTTTACAAAAAATCCCTAAACAGGCAATAAGCAGCAGTGGCTAAGGTGGTACTGCAATTATCCGACTGCATAGTGTGATGATTAAGGAAAATAGTCCCTCCAACAGAAGTGGCCCATGTTCATCAGTGGACTTTTGCAGATAAACGAAGATAAAGATATTGTAAAGGATTATTTTTATTATGAATAAGCACATACTCATCTAGATTCTGATTAATGTGAAAATAAGAGAAGAGTAAAATTATGTCTTAAATAAAAAAATTGATAGGATAGTTAGAAACTTCAAGACCTTAAAATTAATAGTACTTAAATATTAGGAGTTTTATTATGAAATGCCTAATATATTAACCCTAACTATCTATACATTTCTGCCAGCAGGAGGGAAGATGTTGCATGCTTTTGCAATAGAATTCATGCATTGCATTTTGTATTTTGGACTTCCTGTAAACAAAATAATTTTTTTGTGCAGGAAATTGTTTCAATTACATAAAATAAAGTAAGTGGTTGAGAATAGATCTGGCAAATACGGAGGATGACATATGATTCCTAACTGTAGGTTTTGTAATGTCAAAAAAAGTTTGTCGAGCATTGCAAGCTGTCTATCATCATCATCATCATCATCATTACAGGCTTTCACAAGTCCACTGCTGAACATATTTTTTTTTATTTATTTATTCTTTATTGCATTTCTTAATCTAAGAGAATACAAAGGGCGGACTTAATGCCTTGTGGCATTCTCTACCAGTCAACCCTTGGAGTGGTGAGAATTTGAAGTAGGATATATATATAATATAGAATAAAAACAAAATAGAAATTTATAATTAATTACATTATATATACATTTTACTAATATATACAATAAATAAACTATAAAAATATATCCTATTTATACATGTATACAAATATATACGTACATACATAAGCATACATATATTCATATGTATGCTTATGTATGTACGTAACATAGGCCTCCCCCAAGGAATGCCACAAAGCACGGTCCTGAGCCACCTGTATCCATCGACTTCCTGCATGTCTTACCAGGTCGTCACTCCATCTCGTGGTGGGTCGCCCTACACTTCGCCTACTGGTACGAGGCTACCACTCAAGAACCTTTCTTCCCTATCGGTTGTCGGTTCTTCGAGCTTTATGGCCGGCCCACTGCCACTTCAGCTTACTAATCCATTGAGCTGTCAGTTACTTTGGTTCTACTGTGGATATACTCATTTCTAAGTTTATCACGCAGAGAAACCCCGAGCATAGCCCTCTCCATAGCTCGCTGAGCGACCTTGAGCTTCCTCATACGGCTAGCAGTGAAGGACCACGTCTCAGATCCATAAGTCATCACTGGCAACACGCACTGGTTGTACAATTTTGTTTTAAAGTTTTGAGGTATGTCTGACAAATGTTTCCCGAACGCTGCCCAGCTGAGTTGAATCCGTCGATTGACCTCTCGGTCGAAGTTGGACTTACCTAGTCAGACTATTTGTCCCAGGTAAACATACTCGTCAACAACTTCGAGCTTAGTGCTCCCAACAACTACCGGCATAGGTATGACATGGACATTAAACATAATCTTTGTTTTGTCCATGTTCATCTTAAGACTTATTCGTTGGGAGACACTATTGAGGTCATTGAGCATGGTGCTTAGGTCCTACAGCGATTCTGCTATGAGGACTATATCGTCGGCAAATCGAATGTGAGTGATGTACTCGCTATTGATGTTAATACCGTATCCTTTCCAGTCCAGAAGCTTGAAAACGTTTTCCAATGCAGCGGTGAAGAGTTGCGGGGATACAACGTCACCCTGTCTTACACCTCTCTGCAATTGGATAGGTTTCGTACTCTGGTTCTGTACTCGGATAGCCATCGTAGCTCTACTGTACAAACACTTCAGCACTTCGATATACCGACAGTCAACTTGGCACCGCTGAAGGGACTGCAGCACCGCCCAAATTTCGACGGAATGAAAGGCTTTCTCATAGTCCACATACGCCAGACATAGTGGCAAATTGTACTCTTCGGACTTCTGTACAATTTGCCGTCTGTGGTCTATGGTGCTAAAGCCCTTTCGGAACCCGGCTTGTTCGGGAGGCTGGAAGTCGTCAAGTCTGCGCGCGAGACGATTCGTAATGACTCTCGAAAACAGCACGTAGACGCGGCTCAGAAGGGAAATCGGTCCGTAGTTCTTCAAGAGAGCGTTGTCACCTTTCTTGAAGAACAAGACCACCGCACTCTGCTCCACGCCTCCATGGAGGACGGAATTAATGAGCTTCTGAAGGACTTCAAGTACCGGTCTTCCACCCGCTCAGAAGCTCCGCTGTTATTCCATCCTCGCCTGCGGCCTTGCCGTTTTTAAGGTGCTAGAGAGCCGTTCTAATCTCGCTCAGACTGACGTCCGAAATAGTGTCGGATAAGATTCGCTCTTGGATCGTTACTCATACTTGCGTGTGGCTCCAACGATGACGTGTACCGCTGCCCATAGAACCTCTCAATCTCACTCAAAATCTCAGGTGCCCCGGAAACGATGCTGCCACACTCGGTCTTCAGCTTTGACAGTTGGCTCTTTCTGGCAGACAGATCTCTGGCAAGGACTTTGGAGCCTTGGTTCCGCTCGATCGCTTCTTCAATATAAGCTGTATTGAAGTTGCGTAAGTCCCGCCGCATGCATTTGGAGATCTGTCTGTTGAGATGCCTGTATGCTGTCAAATCTATTGGAGAATGTAGCTTCATCTCCCGTCTAACAGCCATGAGATTGAGAGTGTGATCGGAGACTTTTTTTGTTCTTCTGCGGCGGGTCTTGCAGAATTTAGCTCCGACCGCATGGACAGTTTCCACGAGCTTGTCATTCATATCGTTCACTTCATTGCAGTCTTCTAGGCATTGAAAACGGTTTTGTAACTCGAGCTGAAAGGTTTCGGGACTCTGGAACAGAGCACGACGGGGACGGAGCGTTGACTTCATTAGACGAGACCTCTCCAACTTAACGTTTAGGTTCAGTGTGCCTCTAACCATTCGGTGATCGCTACCAGTTTTCACCCTCGCGATCACGGAGACATCACTGAACAGTTGTCGTCTGGTCGTCATAATGAAGTCAATCTCATTTTTTGTGGAACCGTCGGGGCACGACCAGGTCCACTTCCTGTGGGGCCACTTCTGGAAGAAAGAATTCATCATAAAGAGTCCCTCTTTCTCCAGGAAGTCGTCCAGCTGCTGGCCCCTTGGGTTCCGTTGCCCTATACCAAATTTCCCTACTTTCATCTCACCGTTCTCTCTTGTGCCTAGTTTTGCATTGAAGTCTCCCATTAACACCGTATAGTGGGTTTTGGAGTAATGCATGGCTCTAGAGATATCCTCATACATTTCTTCCACCTCCTGATCGAATTATGCTGAGGTTGGTGCGTAAACCTGTATGACCTTCAGCGAATACCGTTTGGTGATTCTGAGTATAAGGTACGCAACCCTCGTCGACACAATCTCAATCTTTACAACGTTGTTAACGAGAGACTTGTGGACGATAAATCCGACACCTCCTTGGGACAGATGGTCGCCCTCCCGGTGATAGAGCAAGTTGCCGGATTCGAGGATTACCGTGTCCTCCCCCTCTCTTCGGACTTCGGATAATCCTATAATATGCGAGCGTAACTTATCTCTTCTTCCAGCTCCACGATCTTCTCGTCAGTCCTCAGGGTGCGTGCGTTGTATGTTGCCAGGTCGAGTCGTCTTAGGTGGCAACCGAACCTCCACCGGAGAATCTTAGCACCCCCTACCCCGCCGTTACCATGGTTGCCACCGTAGCCAGGAATAGCGGGGCGCCGGGGACTGGGGGCCGTTTCTTTGTTACTCTTGTCATAGGGGGGTATTTGCCATAGTTGCCACACTTGGCGAGCGGGTTGGCAACCGCAGTTTTTTTATTGTATGTTTGTTGTTATCAGGAAGATGCTGCTGCCCATCTCCTGCCTGTTTCCATTTGTCGCCTTTTACTACACCCACGGGAAGATATGGGGTAGTGGATATTCTTAACTGCCACTACAAGACCGCTGTCTATAATGTTAGGATTATGTTAGAACTAATATTCCAAAATTACTGTCATACTTTAGGTCTTTTTTTAAGTCACATATAGAATATTATGGAATTTAAAAACAAATTAAAGTCAAGATTTTTAAATTAGTAAATGTTATAGTTTTTGTGTACAAAATGTTTTAATCATGAATCTTGTACCAAGCAGGTATAATTTAATTCAAAGTGCCCACTTCATTAAAATGGAAACTGTATATTAACCCCTGTTATTTCCACTTACTGGTTAATTCATTTTTGATTTCAGTGCAAGATCAATGTGTCTCACAAATGCCTGGTACACCATTTATGTTACTTTGCAAGCTGTACCCAGAGGATGTGGCAGAGGAGTTGATACAGGAGGTTACCCAGCATCTGCTGTTCCTGCAAGTAAAGCAAGCAATACTCAGCATGGACATTTACTGCCCTCCAGAAGCCTCAGTTCTGTTGGCAAGCTATGCGGTGCAGGCTAAGGTATCATTGATGTTATTACTTCTGTGTCAGTTATGTTTTTTTTAAATCATTAAATTTTTTTTGATAATGGAGTCATTATTGTCATCAGCTCGGGAATAGTTAGCATAGCCTTAAACAATTTAAAATGATTTTCTGTAATTCAAATGCTTGGCCAGATAAGTAGTCGAAACAGCCATTTCAACTAAACATCTAATCATCCATTTATTACAGTCAATAAAAGTCCACCAACGTAGGCCTTCCAGGCTCAAAAAAATTTTCTCTTAGGGAGGATTGGGCCTAAGTTGCCACGCATGGCAGGCGGGTTGGCAACATTTTTATAAATTTAAATTTTTATAAGGAATGTGCTGATTTCCCTCTGTTTCTTTTTACGACACATGTGATGAAATGGGGTAGTGGATATTCTCTATATTATTTTTTCGAATTTTCGAAATTGTTGGAATTTTTCGATTTTTGTTTGGTTTCATCATGGTTTTACCCAACAGCCTTTAAAGTTGTTATTAAAGTAAGTTTAAAAATCTAATTTTTTTTTCTGCTTTAAAATTTCAATTTATAAGGGAGAGGGTCCCATTATTTTCATCGAAAGATATGTGATTCAGCATCAACCATTACAATGATTTAGGATACAGTTTTGAAATGTTTTATTATATAAAACTGAAAAATATTTTATGGTACACAGTTGCTTTTAAATGAGTTCTTTGCATTTTTAATTGACTAGTGTTGTGTTGTAAAAATTTAATCATACCTTAACTTAATGATAGAATTCAATCTAAGAATATGTGGTAGAGCCAGAATAAGGGGTTGTAGATTGAATAGGTTGACTTTACTGTGGAACACCTAAACTGTCACAGAATACCATTGTAAAATAGCAGATTAATGCTGCTGTGTTTTGTATGGTGTGTGTAGAAAATCGCAGACCGTTTTTACTGGATAAGGGGAAATTCATCTTAGTCTTTAAGGGTGACAACGCATCCGCACACAGGCCTACAGCATCTACTTACTATCAAGTGAACTCTGTACTTGTTTGTCATTGTTATTCTGTGAAAAACTTTAATAAAGTTGTATAAAATAATTATAATTATTATCAAAAATAAGGATTAATTTATAAAGTAAAAATATTCAAATTACAACTAGTTTTAAAACCAATTATAACTATTTCAATTATTGCCTTAATTAATAAAATTATGATGCTAAACAAAATTATTTAAATAAAATCTATTGCAGTACGGCGATTATGATGAAAGTGCGTACAAACCGGGGATGCTCGCGAGTGAAGACTTGTTACCTCAGCGGGTCATAGATCAATATCAGATGACGCCGGAGATGTGGGAGGACCGCATTAAGATATGGTATTGTATTATGTGAAATTTATGATCAACAATCTATACATACAAATAATATATGTGTTAGAGCCATGCTGCAGCTAAATTAGTAGTATAGTTGTAGCACGAATGGGTCGGCTTGACCGGGGAAAGACCACGCTCTCACAGAATACCAGCATAAAATAGCTGCTGTGTTTCATATGGTGACTGTAGAGAACCGGAGACCCTTTTTACTGGAAAAGAGCCATTCTATCTTAGTCCTCACGGGTGACAACGCATCTGCATTTTGATTTGCAAACGAGGATAGATGTAGATGTCCATGGGTCACAGCAACCACTTACCATCAGGTGGACTGTGTGCTCGTTTGTCACCCTGTCCTGTAAAAAAAAAATTGAATTGTCTGTCTGTAATATCGAAATAACTGGCTTTTGAGCTGAGGTAGTTACTTGCATAAAAGACATATATAACCATTTTTAAAAATTTTGTCTGTCTGTCTGTTCGAGCTAATCTTCGGAATGGCTGAAACGATTGTGACTTTACGAACAGATAGAGAGCAATGCCAGGAGGGATATATTTAGTTATTTTTTTTTTGAAAAAACGAAAGGTTGAATAAATAAATGGTTTATGTTTATCTTAAATTAGCACTTTTAACATCACATCAAGAGATCTTCTCCGGTCTGTCAATAATAATATTAATAATAATAGTTTTTGCCATGTGTCGGTTGGTTGGTTCGACCACAGAGCAAATACAAAAAGGTGTTGTAATTAGATTTCTATGTATCAATGCGTGACAATTTGCGGGGTGAGGGGATGTTAAGCCCCGCCCACTACTATTTTCCATCTACCAATAAATGGTAAAACTACTCGAATCGTTCCATATCGATGTTGCAATGTAGTTTAGCTACATTGACGATAGATAGCGGCCTGTTCACAAAATGATTATAAAAACTATAAATATAATATTTTGGCGACTAAAAATTCTTTAGGACTGAATGCAATACAGATTTCAACACCTTCGTATTATTATCTTACTAATACTGAGCTCTACGTAACTTTATATTTTTAGTTCCCATGGCAGAAAGTGTCGCCATCTAGTATCGAATATATTTAATTACATGTGAAGGCCGACGCAGAGATTTTACTATAAACTTTTTAATAAATTAAATATAAAATTACTTACAAATGAAATGTGATACCGTCTATAGTACCCAGACCATGGGAAATGCCAGAAAAGTTATATGGCTTCTTAAAACTGGCATTATAACCGTCATGTTTACGCTTGACGTAAATACTTATATACAGGGTTATTTTTCAAAGAGTAGCCAAAGGACATTGTTTAGCGTCTATACAATGTTCGCCTAAGAACCAACAGTGAAAAACAAAACCTTTTTACGTCCGAAATTACACATAATTGTATGTAAGAACAATAAATCCTGACGGACACTTCTGAAAACTTAGATATTTGCAGTTATCTTAGATTTTGAGGTTATGTTTTATGTTTATGAAACATTACTATGTTATTGCCAATGTAAGCAGTTCAGTCTTAGCCTAGCATTTATACGGTAACTAAAACTCAGGTTGTGATTAGGTATTTATTTTATTCATACCAAATAAATACAACATATACAGTCTCATTTAGGTATTTATTTTATTCATACCAAATAAATACAACATATACAGTCTCATTTGGTTAAAGTCCCTGATTCAAGCCAGGTAAGTCGCTAAAGAATAGTATCGATATCCGTTGTTCAAGCCGTTTTTCGTAATTTATATAAACTTATCGCATATCAAACCAACTACAGAGTGCACTTAGATTCCTAAAACATTTACAGAAATGTTTTTTTTTTTTAAACGAAACCAAAACAATAGCACGTCTGACGTCTATCTATTCTGACTTATTGTCATCTGTCAACGTTGTTGCCTTTTTTTTGAGTGGCACAATGCTGATTTGCCAATGAGATGACAATAGTATTGTTATTTTTAATGAAAATAGATGATTTTACTGGACCCCAGTTCCTTGTGGACAAAGTTCAAAATTGAAAAATTCCTTTTTATTTTGATTTCATAATACGAAGTGTCCGTTACTATTTTTTTTATAGTATAGGGTGACAAACGAGCACACAGTCCACCTGATGGTAAGTGGCTGCTGTGGCCCATAGACATCTACATTTATCCTCGTTGCGAATCAAAATGCAGATGCGTTGCCACCCGTAAGGACTAAGATAATGCCTCGTTTCTAGTAAAAAGGGTCTCCGGTTCTCTACACTCGCCATACGAAATAGCAGTGTTAAGCTGCTATTTGACGCTGGTATTCTGTGAGAGCATGGTCCTTCCCCGGTCGAGCCGACCCATTCGTGCTACAACTATACTACTAATATAGCTGCAGCATGGTTCTACCACGTACAAAATGTTATCTAATGCATAATTAATGATAAGAATTTTGGTAATTGTCAAATATATGTTGGTTCTTAGGTGAGTTTTAACATTGTCCTTTAAACTTAAGTTCAAATATATGAATAATGATGTATACCATTATTGCAGTTTTTGAAAATACGAGTAAATAAGGCTTCTACTTTTATTTAAAATTATACCAAATTAAATGTGATTTATGGGCAACAACGTTTTTGCCTACCGATTTGAAAGGGGGTACACATGTTAAAAACGAATCAGTTAAAATAATTCATTACAACACATTTTGCATTTAAAAGAATGTTTGAGATTTTTTTAATAATTTTTTTCTATATTACTCATTCGCCTATATTACTTTTTCTCCATCTTCTCTGCAAATTTGGTCGTTTATTGTAAAATAACCCTGTATATACATGGCAGAGCCATTTTGCCGTTATATTACGCTTGTAGCACAAATGCCTCGGTTCGACCAGGGTAGGACCATGCTCATATATAATGCCAGTGTAAAATAGCAGCTTAATGCTGCTGGTTCGTAAAGTAAGTGAAGAGCCCTTTTTAACTGGATATGGGGCATTCCATCTTAGTCCTCAGGGATGACAACCCATTTGCGTTTTGATCGTCGTTGACTTACTAAAATAAGATAAAGATAAGATAACGACGGGAAGTTTTTCACAACTCCACGTCTAAGCGCGTATTTTGCGTGTGGGCAGGAATAATGGAATTATACGAGCCATGAAATCTCCCCGAAGAAGTTCAACAGTCAGAGCAGCTTCGGGGAGTGATCTCGGCATGCCGAGATGTTTTGCTCTGTATGCAGCGAGCTCTGGAGATGTCAGCAACACGTGGGCTGCCGTTTCTTCCTCACCAATGCATGCCCTGCATAGGGGACTCTGTAACACCTATGGTAAATAAATGTTTGTTAAAGGAGCCATAAAAATCGACTTACCTCCTGATGGTGGGCTGTGAGCCCGTTTGTCACCCTCTTTCTATATAAAAAGTTATTAGGGCAATAGCGTCAAAGGTGTGAGACATCTGGAACTGACACCTGAAAAGCCTGACTTGGCGAGAAATAGGCCGTTGTCCAGCATCTTCTGCTTACCCAAAGCTACGACTTTTACGAACTATTAAAAAAACAGCAGAAGAAATTTGATGTGCAATTAATATTAAAACATTTCAGGTATGCAGATCACAAAGGAATGTCCAGAGATGAAGCGGAGATGGAGTATCTGAAAATAGCTCAAGACTTGGACATGTATGGGGTTAACTACTTTGCGATCAATGTAAGTAAATATTTTGACAGCTATGTTGGCCCAGTGGTCGTAACGTGACTGCTGATATTGTAGTTCTGAGTTCGAATATAGGACCGCCCAAATTAATTTAGTGGGTTTTTCGTGTAGCATTGCTGACCCATCAGACTATGAGAGTGAGAGATAAAGAGTGCGTCTGTGTTTGTGTGCACACTCGTGCACTGTAATCTAGTCTCTGTTGAAACTGGACACCGTGAACGTAATTCGGTTTTGAGAACATTTTGGCTTTTGAAACAATGGTTTTCGTTCATTGATTTTCTGTATTTTGAAATGAACCTTTGTACTCTTCCAGAACAAAAAAGAAACAGATCTTTACCTCGGTGTGACGGCGCTCGGTCTAAACATATACGAGAAGGACAATAAGCTTACACCAAAGACCACATTTCCCTGGTCCGAGATCAAGCACATCTCCTTCGACGACAAGAAATTCGTCATCAAGTTCGTGGACAAGAGCGTCACCAATTTTATCTTCTTCTCACCCAAAGGAATGAATAAATTGGTAAGTGGGATACAGTCTTTATCATTTATAAAGGAACTAACTGGCCTAGCAGAAGCTGTTCTGCCCTTTTCGGTAAGTGTTGCAACGAATTCCAATCCGTATCCACTCCGGACATTTTACAATGTAAATATAAAATTAGTACGTAATATTTCGACCACTTTCCGGTTTTCTACAGGATGCGTATCGGCGTTCAGTTTTCTACAGGTGTTTTTCTGAGAGTGTGCGCAGGAATTGCGTAATTTAATTCCTCCCTTTTCCTTCCACTTCCACTGTCGGACAACCAGATGCTCGGAAAGTCAGGTCACCAAACGGTTTGCTACATCGTTCGCCATGAGTACAGTAAAGGCGGAATAAGTTCCCCGCATCTATCTTTCCATCCGATTACAATGTGGGCGTCACCAAGACAAGAGTGAATGGGCTTTTATTAAGTCAGTGCACTTTACTATCTTTGGCTATACCATCAGGTGGAAAGTCGTCAAGTGCTGGTTAATAGATGTGGCTCTCTTTAAGGAATATATTATTATACTAAACAATATAATAAATACTATAATTGACATTTAAAATAAAAACTATCAACATCAAATCACGTGGTAGTCAAAATGATGCCTATTTCTAGGTTGTATGACTTCTTTTCTGCCTAAAAGCCTAGTCAGAGTCATTCCATCTTAGTATTACAAAAAGGCGTCCATTTATTGTTTAGCCATGTACCATCAGGTGAACTGTAAGTTTGTTTATCTCTTTAGTTTTATAAAAAAAAAATATTTTTTATAGTTTTTAGGATTCCGTACCCAAACGGTTAAAGGGTACCGCAATAGGTAGACAATTGAAATTTTCGCTGAATGTGTATTTCTGTTACCGTTATAACAACAAATAATAAAAATAAATTAAAAATTAAAGGGAGGCTCCCCTACTAGAAACGTGTTTTACGATGGTACGGAACCCTTCATGCGCAAGTCCGACTCGCACTTTGCCGGTTATTTATTAGTGTTGACGATTGCAGGAAGTAATCTTGACTCAGCTCTCAGTCATTCGTTCTCGTCTCGTTCGTATCGTGGGCGACACGTAGTTAATTTTCGAAATGTGATTCCAGATATTGGATTTGTGCATCGGTAACCACGACCTGTATATGAGGCGGCGGAAACCAGACACGATGGAGGTGCAACAAATGAAGGCGCAAGCGAAAGAAGAAAAGCAGGTAAGATTTAAGGTAGTTGCATAAAACACTGTTGCTGTCAATCAAACCACACCACGTGTATTATTTTCATCGTTAAATAAAGAGTATTTAAGGATGAAAATAATACATCACGTATAAAATATTTTACGTCAATTCTTAATTAGTTACACAATATGTTGTATTTATATTATGTGTGAAATTCTTGAAAAATTATGTACATTTACATAAAATATTTCTTATGTACTTTTATGTTTCATTGATAAATAAATTTGAGTCGTGTTAACTCGGGGGTTGGCGCTAGAATTAATGCAATCAATTACAATTTTAAAGGGTTGAATTGAAACGTGCTCGATGGTGAAAAAAACATCGTCTAAAACCAATAATTATACCAAATGAACAATAAATTCTAGGATATGTAAAGTACTTACAGCCAATTAACATTGAAAAATTGTCACTATCTCAAAAATTAGAGGATGTTTATGCTCACATATGAGGTATATCTATATATTGTCACCCTAATCCTATAAAAAAATCTATATAACCTATGTGTCTCGAAGGACCAAAATTTGTCACATTGTGTGGAGTACTAAGTAAACATTAAAATATGTTTTGCTACCAGTCAATCCTATTCTAACAGGAATTTACTCATTTCAGCGTCGTCAAATAGAACGAAATAAGTTAGCGCGTGAGAAGCAACTACGGGAAGCAGCAGAAAGAGAAAGAACAGCTATGGAGCAGAGATTGCTACAATATCAGGAGGAGATACGGCTCGCTAACGAAGCACTGGTAAGGTATTTGTTTATTATGACTATAATTGTCACATAACACTATAGTGGTTATACGTGGTAGAGCAATATATTATGGTTGTAGCACGAATGGGTCGGCTCGACCGGAGGAGAACCATGCTCTCACAGAACACCAGCGTAAAATAGCAGTAATTAATGCTGCTGTCTTTTGTATGGTGAGTGTAAAGAACTGAAGACTCTTTTTACTGAAAACGAGGCATGCCATCGTAGACGTCAGCGGTGACAACGCATCTGCATTTTGATTCTTAATCGAGGATAGATGTAGATGTCTATGGGCCACAGCATCAATTTAACACCAGTTAGTCTGTCTGGTCGGTTGTCACTCTTATTCTATAAAAAAAATATTTCCCATAAAAGGCATTCTATTAGGAGGCCTGTGATCAGCAGTGGACTTCAATAGGTTATATATATATGAATGATATGATATGACTGTGAATAAATTTTGTGCTGACTTTAAGTTAAGTTTTGTGCTCACTTTTTCGAAATGACTTGGTAGCGTCGATCGGAAGAGACTGCGGAGTTGCTAGCGGAGAAGGGCAGAGTGGCAGAAGAAGAGGCATCGCTACTCGCTCAGAAGGCGGCAGATGTTGAGAGGGAGAACGCAAGACTACGGTTGTCTGCTATTAAGACTGAGGAGGAAAAGGTTAGCCGTCAATATTATCTTCATTCTTTTCTTTTGACTGCCTCTTTGATCTAGTGGTTGTTAACGCGACTGGATGATCTTGAGGTCTTGTGTTCGAACCAGTTATAATCACCTCTGTAACAAATCAGTTACATTGTTACATAGTAATTTAATTTCACTAAACAATTTTGCTGTTATTAAGGAAAATATTATTCAGTCATTAAATTCAAAAATTTGAAGCATCAGTAGCCTAATGGCAGGGCGTGGACCGCGAACTCGAAAGATCGTACGTTCGAATCCGCCATTCGACTACTGTCGTGAACCACTTCTAACACAAGCATTTTAAGCTTACCAGAAGTGGTTAAAGGGAATATTAGTAATGTTTAATAGCATTACTAGTATTTAAAAAAAATGGCCAGAGTAATTCTTTATTAGCTTTTCTGACGATATTCTCAATAGCAACTTAGGCTCAGAAGGGCTAGAACCCAGAGCCGTAAAGCCAGTTTAAACAAATAAATCAATAGCAACCCAGAGTCAGGAAGTTTGCGGTGTTACACCCCCGTGTCTCAGCTAGCACGTAAAGCCGTTAGTACTGCGCCTGATCTCTCTCTGGTCGTGTCGGTTTACCGTCCCATCGGACTATGAGAGTAAGGGGATAGAGAGTGCACCTGTGCTTGCGCATACACTCTGGCACTATAATCAAATGACATTATTATTTTTGTCTTTATCGGCAATTAAAAATCCCACATGGGTCCTGTTGATAGAAGGGATTGATTTGATTTTCACGCTTGGCAGGCTTGACAGGTCATCCGCAGTACCTGACGTGAGGTCTTTGATGCTGCCGCCCGTCGCCGGCTTGAACATTTTTCTGATGTAAACGTGATGGTAATACCGCCGTCAATCGGAAGTCGTGGTAGCTCAGGGCCTAAGCGCTTGCTGTAAATTTCACAGTACGTGGGCAACCTGGGTTCGAACCCCACCGGCACCAATGAATTTGTTTATTACAATTTAAGTGCTGATTTACCATGTGCTCTACTCTACCATGTGAAGAAACTTGCATGGCTTAGAAATAAAAAAATATATATTTCGAAGACATTTGAAGTCCACTAACTCGTATTGGGGCAGTGCATCGGACTTTTCCTAGTCCTTAAACCTTCTCAGAAATGAGAAGAGGCTTGTGCCCAGGAGTGGGACGTTGTAGGCTGTAACATTTTTAACTATCGGAAGTCAAGGTTTTGCCTGATCACTTTGTTTGTCACCACTCGGAATCAGAATTTGCCTGCCAAATAGTGTTGTCTATGGAAAACCCTGTATACTCTGAAAAAGGTTCTCGTTAGATGTAAAATCGCCACACTGGTGATTGCAAGCAGTACACAAAATCCTGTTTTTCAATTATTATACAACAGCCGACGCATTCTATGAAAACCTATCCAACAATGGACTCAAATATAGGGCTCAGTCCATTACATTCTTCATATTCTTTTCCAGGTGCACTTAGAACGGAAGACCCGAGAGGCAGAGTTCTTAACAGCGCGTCTCGTAGAAGAGTCGGAGAAACGTGCGGCCGAAGCAGAAAGGCTGAAGGCGGAACTGGTCGCCGCCAAGGTCGCGGAGAAGCAGGCCAAGGAGAAGCTCATCAACTTCCTCAGCAGGGCTTCCACCGGCTCATTGCCTCCGGTGAGCTAAATTTATTCATCATCACCATCATCATCATTACAGCCCATTATAAACAAGTCCATTGCTGAACATAGGCCTCCCCCAAGGAATGCCACAAAGCACGATCCCGAGCCATCTGCATCCATTGACTTCCTGCATGTCTTACCAGGTCGTCACTCCATCTAGTGGAGGTCGCCATACACTTCACCTGCTGGTACGAGGCTGCCACTCGAGAACCTTTCTTCCCCATTGATTGTCTGTTCTTCGAGGTATATGGCCGGCCCATTGCCACTTCAGCTTACCAATCCGTTGAGCTATGTCGGTTACTCCGGTTCTGCTGCGGATATCCTCGTTTTCAAGTCTATCACGCAAAAAAACCCCGAGCATAGTCCTCTTCATAGCCTTCTGAGTGATCTTGAGCTTCCTCATACGGCCAGCAGTGAAGGACCATGTCTCAAATCCACAGAACGCTGCCCAGCCGAGTTGAATCCGTTGATTGACCTTTCGGTCGAAGTTGGACTTACCTAGTCGGACTATTTGTCCCAGGTAAACATACTCGTCAACAACTTCGAGCTTAGTACTTCCAACAACTACCGGCATAGGTGTGACATGGACATTAAACATGATCTTTGTTTTGTCCATGTTCATCTGAAGACCTATCCGTTGGGAAACACTATTGAGGCCATTAAGGTGGCACAAGTCGCGGGCTCGAACACGCTGGTGGGCGCGGCCAAAAAGCACGCTGTCACACCTGGCATCGTGCCCGACAGAGATAGTATCAGTAATGAGCAGATCGACACTAGTATTCACACACGTCTAGTTCGTACGGCGTTCCGAACCGTTAGAATAAAAACGAAGTTACACGAAGACGATGCAACATCTATACTAATATAATAAAGAAGAAGAGTGTTTTTGTTTGTTTAAACGTGCTAATCTCTCTCTTTTTTTGGATATTATAGCCAGATTCATGTTGAATAGTATAGGCTATATAGCATTAGGCCATATATCTCAGCTAGCCTATATTTGTTAAGCAAGTCAGAAGTGTTCCCAAAATGATTTATCCGCGTACGCTGGTGCTATGGTTCGGGATACGTAAATACAATGTTCTAGAAAAATATAGATCTTTACTTCGTCTAAAAAAAAGTCCGCGATACCATATGTCTATTTCTTATATATAAGCCACAATTAGGCATTTTGTGACAAAAAAAATGAAAATTTAATGCATGACATATTTATCCTCGAATGAAAGTTACTTCATTATCAAGACAATTTTATGAAGATAAACTTCGTTCTTTATACTATGTTTATATAGTACATAGTTTAAGAGATAACGTAAAATTAAAATAATTCAATACTTGGCTTGACGCGCAAACAACGCATAACCCCTAGCTCCACCTAGCCCGGTGCGAACTGAGAAGCCAGTATTGAAAGCTTCTATGAGCGAGGTTAGGTTAGCCGTTAGTTCAATCGTTATTTATATCTACACAAATAAATAAAATTGAAGTGTCGGTTTGTAATGTCAAAATAACAGCTTTTTACTAATTGCGTATGAAATTGTATACGGTGCTTATAACATTAACACAATTTTTAACATTTTTGTATGTCTGTCAGTCTGTTTGTTCCGGTTAATTTCGAAAACGGCTGGACCGATTTTGACGGGACTTTCACTAGTAGATAGCTCATGTTATAAGAAGTAACTTAGACTGCTTAAATTTTTGAAAAATTATTAGGGCGTTAATTTTGTTGCACGGCAACAATATTAACGCCCTAAACTAAACGCGGACGAAGTGGCGGGGAACAGCTAGTAGCTAAAATAAATTCAAAATTAATTGAGTACTTTTATCTATCTCCCGGGTGAGCGTAACAATGATTAGTTACATCTTTATTTCTGAACTCTTTCATTTTACGTTGCTATGGTATTTTGAAAGTTTAATTGATTAATAAGTATAAGAGGTTGATAGCAAATTTATCAAGAATCATTTCTTGCCTACACACTTTTCATGTATCGTGTACGTTTTTCTTTAAAACTGGAAAAAACCGCGCATAATATCCTGACAGATAAAATAAAAGTACTCCATTAATTATGACAACTTTTCCATACATTACTATCAAATAAAATATTTGATTGCAATTATAAAATGCTTCAACTAGGTGTCATGTCATGCCACGCATCTCGGACACGTGATGACGCGGGTGAAACCGCGAAATTATTAGGTGCTGCTTTATCGCTTCATATTATACCTCTGTGGCTCTTCATATATACCTAATATAGATTGCTTATTTTATTATGTTTTGTTTTCCCCGAGTGGTCATGCAGCGATCGGCTTCATGACCACTCGGGTCGTGAAGCCGATCGCTGCATGAGAGGTCGGCTTCGAACGTGTGTAACTCGAAAATAATCCCACGGTTATTTGACAACTCCGTGGCGCAGTGGCTTAGCAATGAATTGTTGCACTGGGAGCCGAGGGTTCGAATCCCGCACGGAACATGTATTTGTATGGCCTACAAATAATTGTTCCGGGTCTGGATATTTGTAAACTGCCTCCACGATACAGGAGAAAATCCTAGTGTAGGGGTAACGTTTTTTTAAAAAATAAAAAAAAATAATAAAATTCCAGACTATAACCTATCTCTGAGCAAAATATCATCCAGATCCCTTCAGCCGTTCTGGCGTGATTGAGTAACATACATCCATTCATCCGTCCATCCAAATATCCAAACTTTCGCATTTATTATATTTATATTTAGATAATAATTGTAATTAGTTGTGCCTACCTATAAATTGTTTTCAAAAATACTTACCTGTCTTCTTACTTTTTTATATATACTCAATATTACTAAACGTAAGCACAGGTTTTTATCAAGACAAGTGACCCATCAAGATTGTTTTCTTAGTACCGACGTACCTACCTAAAGTTTACAATTTTGTAGCCACGACGCGGCGACGTTTTGTGACATTTTGTTGTATTGTAGGTTGTAGGTATCTAGGTAATAACAGTAGGTACCTATGAAAATCCCACATAATATACCTTGTTTGTCCGCCGCAAAAGTCGTCTAATAAATAATTAAACTGTTTTGTAATTTTATATTTATTTATAACACTTGCATTGAGAGCCGTGGTAGCTCAGATGGTTAGTGCTCGCTGTAAGTATCACATTACGCGAGCAACCCGGGTTCGATCCCCGTCGGGCACCAATGAAATTGTTGCAATTTTATATAGTAATCGTATATAGACTTTACTTTTTTTGTACTTTTATAATTATATTATATTACAGACGAAAACTTTAAAATATTGTCTGTCGTCCAAAACGCATCATCTCTTTCAATTATATCAATTTCCATGCCGTCTTTTGTCTTTGGCGTTCAAATTACAAAATAGCAAAACATTTCGTTTCGAATAAAACTCGAATAAGCGCGCGTCACCGCCTGTGCATGTGTGTGTAAGCATCGTCCTCCCGCACCGCACCGGGGGAGACATTATTCAGTGAGATGCACGATAATTCATAGTAACATGCGCGCGTAAAAAAATACGAAAAGGCCTTTGGAAGAAGGGGTTTTATGAAAAAACCACTGCATTAATCAATTACAAATAAAATTTATTGAATTTTTCGATAATTGAGCTGTGTCGGAACCGTTACCGTTTGGAAATTTTACACTTCTTTTATTACTAATTTACGCCCAAAGTTGTTTTACAATTAGCAATATAAACGAATCTTTGGTAGCTCGTAACTTTTTAATAACATTTTATTTTACTATTCTGTTTCCGTACATACAAATTTAATAATGAGACAAAACGATATCATGTTTAACTTTGGATGTGTACACTGTCAAACAGCGGAGTAAAACCCCTCCGAAATTTTTATGGAAATAATGTCGACTAGTGTCACCTTAAGCATAGTGCTTAGGTCCTCCAGCGATTCTGCCATAAGGACTATATCGTCGGCAAATCGAAGGTGAGTGATGTACTCGCCGTTGATGTTAATACCGTATCATTTCCAGTCCAAGGTCATTGGCATTATACGCGAAAAAATCCAAAACTGCGAAGCTGTGGTCGGGTCACTAATCAAATAATATCTGTAACTATGGCGTCAGTAACTAAGTACTTAATTTCTATATCTACCTATAAATAATAATATATTACATTTCGGTATCATTAGCAACAGTAAATAATGAAAGGTCCATATTCCTATTGTTATTTAAGCACCGGTATGCTATGCAGTACTTTTTTGCTTTTTGAGAGGCCATACTTGAATAAAAACTCTCCAAAGTGCTCTCAAAAGTACTTATGAGAGAAAAATATATTTTTTTATTAACGTAAGGCCTGCATCAGCTTAAGCGCGCGTGTGACAACTTTATGACATTAGCCTTTTGTAGGCGGTGTCTAGCGTAGGTATAATTGCCTAACATATACATGCCTAAAGCGCGGAGTGGGACAGGCCTGGTATAATGTAAACTGTCAAAATGGCGTTGATAGAGCAGCGCAATTTTGACCTTTTATTATTTGATTGACTGATGAAGAGCTATCATATCACAGAGCCATATATCTAAACAAGGCTGTAGTTTCCTACCGACTTAAAAAGAGGAGGTACTCAATTCAACTACATGTTTTTCTTTTTTTTATGTGTTACCTCATAACTTATTTCTGGGTGAACCGATTTCGATGATTCTTTTTTTATTTGAAAGCCGGTGTTTTTTATGTAATCCCATATAAATTTGATCAAGGTCTGACCAATAGTTTTTGAGTTATTTTTAATAATTTATATTGAAGTCGGTTGTACAAAATTTTTTATTTTTATTTATTGAGTTATAAGAAAGTGACCATAATAATATTAGCTTCACGTACGCTATTACATTTTGAGATAGACTAGTTAAATAGTGTGCTGATTATTGCGTTTTTTTGCAGCCGTCGTCCGTGCAGTCAAGTCTGTTTCCGTCGACGTGTTCCTTGCCCGCCGAGTTGGGGGACCCGCGGGTGGGGGGTGCTGTTGCTGGCGGTGCGGGGGGTGCAGGCGCGGTGGGGGGCATCGGCGCAGGGGGCGCGGGGGGAGCGGCCGTGCCGCACAACGGCGCCGCGGAGCCCGACCTCAACTCCTACCAGCTGGTGCCCGATGACTCCGACCCGCACATACATCGATTGTCTCTCGAGATCGAGAAGGAGAGGTCAGTCGATCATTGTTTCACGCCTAGTGGCAGGTTATTTCTTAAATGTATGTGTATTTTATGTATATATATATATTTTATGTACTTATACACAACATACATTTCCAAATAAAAAGAAGTAATTTAATTTTTTATGGTCGGCTTTATCGAAGTGAGTTATTTATATATGTTCGAATATTGATCCTGGTGATGCACTTAACGGGAACTATAGGGTTTTTGTGACATGTTGTATATATTCAGGGTTATTTTTCAAAGAGTATCCAAATTTTATATTTAAGTTCATCTCTATACGAGGGCGGCACTGAAAGTTTCGGGAATCAAGGAAGTGACACAACATTACTATTTAAAAATGTATTTATTGCTTTTCGAAGTATTCTCCGCGAAATTTGACACATTTTCCATACGATGGAACCAATAATTGAAGCAACAATTCCATTCGGAAGTTGGGGTCTCCAAAATGGCCGTTTTGTAGGCGTCCACGGCTTCTTCAGGTGATGAAAATCTCTGTCCACGCAATTTATTCTTTATTTTAGGGAAAGTATAGAAATCATTAGGGCTTGGGTCGGGGCTGTACGGCGGATGGTCTAATAATTCTATGTTTTCTTGCTCTAAAAACTCTTTTGTTCTGTGTGCGGTGTGAGAACTCGCATTGTCGTGATGGAGGATGATGCGGCGGTTGTAGTTCTCTTTACGGAATTCAGAAACGACCTGTGGCAAACAAATGCTAGCATACCATTCTGCATTAACCGTACTTTGTCCCTCAAGAGGAATAGTCGTAACAAACGTGGTCTTTAAAAGTTCCAAGCTGTCGTATTCAGTTATTTCGGGGTAGCTTTAGATACGCAGCCTCAAAATGCTGGAACGATTTACCACCGCCACTGCGTAGTTTGACATCGTTATTAGTTTTTAGAAAAAAATACAGAATTCATGTTCTCAATATACAAAAACGTATTTAAATATTATTTACAGCTGCCACCAAACAGACATAATATACTCATAATTAGCAAACGTCACATGTAGGTTCTAGTAAATTTTTGTAATATGTAATAGAAGTAGTAATAGTAGTAGATTTTATAATTATTATATTGTTGGTAATAAATAATTTGCGATGTTTGTTATTATAAAATCAGCAATATCTGCATCTCACTTTTTCACTTTTTCATTTTTCTTTTTTACTCACTCTGTGTTTATGTGTGGTAGGTGCAACAAGTGTAGCGTTGTAATAGTGGTACTGGTTGTTACATATTCGGCCGTACGTTACTCACTAGAGGGCGCACTGAAAACCAGCTTCGTGGATAATACCATGAAATAATGCTGAGTGTAGCCCTTTTATACCAAACCCACACACATAATAAAATTTTGATTGTAATGATTTTATTTGTTTTAATTTTGTTTTGATCTGTAGTTATAAGTTTTTAGTGCATAATATCTTTTGTAACATGTGTGTTGGTGTTTGATGTAATAAATAATTTTTCTTCCTTTCTTTCTTTCTAACATGGCCGGTTTTGGAGACAAACGTGGCCACCATTTTTTTTGCAACATTCCGTGAACGAACAACTTTTGTTGGCTTTAACTCATTTTCGAGCACCCAAACTCGTGACTGGTTTTTTGTTTGTACGCATATATCCAGGATTCGTCACCTGTAACGATGTTGTATACAGCATTTGAGGATCCTGCGTGGAATCTTTCGAGAGTTCTGACGCACCAAGTAACGCGAGGCGCTTTTTGCTCTTCACAGATCGAATGCGGTATCCATCGGGAAAACAACTTTTTTACACATAATTGTTCATGCAAGATTATTTGTATTTGACTCATGCCAATGTTTAAAGTTGCCTGAATTTCGCGGTATGTCACATGTCGATCTTCCTCAATCAACTTACGCACAGCATTAACGTTTTCTTGGGTGACTGCAGTTTTTGGACGACCTTGACGGGGATCATCACTGAGCTTGACACGTCCACGTTGAAATTCAGCAAACCAGAGATAAATTGTGGTTTTGGATGGGGCTTCATCACCAAATGCAGAAATCATCCGGTCAACACACTGTTTTTGTGTTAAACCACTTCGGAAGTCATAATAAATCATCGCTCTTGAATTTTCTCGAGTCAATTCCATTTTCTCAACGACTAAACAAGTTTGATAAAACCTTGTGACAAGACTGAGAATTTTTTTTTTAAATAAATGGTATTCGATTTTTAAAACCAAGGGGTTTTCAATTAAAAAGATTTTAATATGAAAGGAACAGTGGAAATATTCTATTCCCGATATTTTTAGTGCAGCCCTCGTATAATAATAATAAATTATAACAAACATGAGTTTGTAATACCAGTTACTAGACTCCATAGAATCAGTAATTAATTTATGGGGCAATGTATACGCTTTTACAACATAATCCCAGAACATGTATAAAATTTGTCAATAAATAAGTTCAAATGTTTTATTAAAGAAAAATTGTACAAAAAGGGTTATTATAATGTCAAAGAATACATATTTAAAAAATCTCTGGGAATGAGGTGATCGCCACTATGTTGGTTCTATTAAAACTTATTTAAAATTTGTACAAACAAAAAAACAAATTGTAAAGTGAAATATGTTTTAAAAAAAGTCAAAAAAAAAAAGTTTCATAGTATTCACAGTTTGAATATTTTCGTTCCGTTATTGGTAACGAAGCGTCATTACCTACGAAAATTTAAAAATTGCAGACTCGTACGTAATGAGGTCACGGTCAACACTGTCAGCTGTTGGCCGGTCGGTTAACGGAACGGGAGGGCGCGGGAAGATGCGTGACTAGGGCCTTAATTTGTAACTGAGCGACCCTTACAAATGTGTGTGTAAAAGTAGGTGTTAGGTATTTTGAATAACGATCAATTAAAATAATGCACTACCACGCATTCTGAATTTAAATTTAAAAAGAACAAGATGTTTGTCATTTTTTTTATAATTTTTTTCATCATTCGTTTATATTACTTATTCTAAACCTCCTTTGCAAATTTGGACTACTGCAAAATAACCCTATATATGAGTATTTTTATCCTGAGTATTTTTTAATAGAAGAGCAATAATTTGCTGGCAGTCGATTTCGTGCCAAATCGCGTATTGTCTGCAACATATTTTTGTTAACCATGCTATGATTTTATTTTTATTTTATTTTTTCTTTTATAAATGCCACCTGGTGGTAAGTGGTGTTGAAGCCCAAACAACAAAAAGCTACTCACTCTTGCCTTGAAAATGACCAGATTCTATTCGGACGGAAAGATAGACTTTTACTCTTGACACTCATTTGCTGTACGCATTACAAAAGACGAAGCGAACCGTTTCGTCAATGACTACACGACCTTTAGCTAGTATCGTACACGTGTAGCGAGGGCTTTGACTCGCAGGGTGGAGTACCTGGCGAAGTCGAAGCACCTGCAGGCGCAGCTGGAGTCGCTGCGCTGCGAGTTCTCGGTGCTGCGCGGCGAGGGCGGCGAGGCTGTGGGTGGGGGCGCGGGGGAGGGCGGCGAGGCGGCGCTGGACCGGCTGCACGAGGCGGCGGCGCGCGCCGGCCTGGACAAGTACTCGACGCTGCGCCGCCTCAAGCAGGGCGCGCCCAGCGCACGCGTCGCCTTCTACGAGGACCTCTGACCGTACCGTCCTCCACGCGCACACAGGTATGTTTCCATCAGACATTACTTATATATATTTATAGAGTGAGAGAGAGAGAGAGGAAGCACGGAAGCAGCTGAATTTGTTAAGGGGCTACTCCATGCGAACGACCTTGAGCATTTGACCGCTTGCTACAATATTAATATATTGTAGCGAGCGGCTCGCCGGAAGAAATATGTAAGACGCCACCTATTGTACGAAAGTAGTATTATTTTTTCAACATCAATAAACTATTTTATGGAAATACACATAACGTACAAAGATAAATGTATTTTAATTTTTTTATTCTGTATATATTAGTTGCATTATATTAGAATTATGTATTTTCATATATTATCTAATTATGGCATTTTATAATTAATTATATATTAAAACTGAAGCATTGAAAATTGTGAGTTTAAAAGATACCTATTCACTATAGGTAAATAAATAGATAGCTCGGCTTTTGTACAAATTTTTGGTGCAATAAAAAATAAAAATAAATAAATAGGATGTTTCGCATATGTGTTTTTGATTATTGTTAATTTTTACGTGTCACGTATTGAAAAGTTACCTACTAATTTTTGAACTTATGCTGGCAGATATTATCCTCACCCCAATGATTGATGAGGATGAAAATCAATTTTATTTCTACATACGTAATTATATTTATTTATACATAAGGGTAACTTTAATAAAGGTAATACAAAAATCAACAAGAAGTATAAGGGTTCAATCTTTCAATTTCAGTTGTAAAAAAACGTTACCCCCACACTAGGATTTTCTCCTGTGTCGTGGAGGCAGTTTACAAACATAAATTGCACAAAGACAAACATCCAGACCCGGAACAATTATTTGTAGGCCATACAAATACTTGTTCCGTGCGGGATTCGAACCCGCGGCCCCCAGCGCAACAACTGATTGCTAAGCCACTGCGCCACCATGAAGCTAATACAAAGACTAACTTTGTATTTGCTTCATGGTCGCCGGGTTATAGCTAAAGTGACCATACGTCCCGTTTTGAACGGGACTGTCCCTTTTCTCGGTCTCCTGTCCCATTGTCCCCAAACAAAGCTCCGGGACACAAAATTGTCATGTAACTAGTTGGATGGAAGTATTCAAAGTCAACAATCTTCAACATAATTTTTTTTAATCGAATATATTTTATGTCTACCTGGTACGAATGCTCCGGTAGAAAGAGTATTTTTTTATTTTGCATAAATTGTGGACGTCTGAAAGAAACACTTACGGTTCCAGAGTTCTAAAGGCGATGTTGTTAACAAAGATAACAATAAAAAACTTGAGCAGAATTTTATTCTTATTTAAAATCATCACCAACTTTATTAAAGCAAATTTAATCCACTGACAAATGTAATTAATAATTAAAAAAAATATGTTGTATTTAATAATTACCGTCTATACCGAATATAATTTTATAGTGAACACTAATTGTATAAAGTTATAGTTTTTAGAGTATAAATAAACCCATGTCCTGTTATGAGTTAAAAAATAAATGGTCAGTTTAGTCTTTTTAGTTAAATTTAGTTTTAAAAATTTTTAGTTTATAGTAAAAAGTAGGTATATTAGTACTTTTTACCGAATTATAAGTATAGAACACCTTATGTACTCAATTATTTTTGAAAAAGAAGAAAAAACAAGCAATAAATAATATACTATATTTTAGCAAAAAACTATAATTTAGTAATACTAATTATAACTTAGAACATAAATGAAAAACTCATAACTGGCTTTTTGGCCCGACCCAGGATTCGAACCCGGGACCTCATGATCAGCAGTCGCACTACTACAACCACTAGACCAACGAGGCAGTACTATACCTGATAAGATATTGTGGTTGGGTGATAATATTGAATTAGCCTTTTATAGTGTAAATTATAATATTTGTCGAAATTTTAATTATAGATTCGAACCTTACATGCTAATGGTGCTTCATTTTTTTATTTGCATTTACTTCAAAGAAAATACACGCAAAAAGCTTCATCGCGCAGTAAAAAACACAACAAATATATGTATAACTAATACGAAAAATTATACCCAAAACAAACAAATAATACTACCTATAAATAACCTAATAAGTAATATTATTTATCGACTGATATTACGTGAGTGTATGCGGCGCTGGTCGACGCTCTAACGACACGGGCTTCGCGTCGAAGAGCTCAGGGCTCACTGACTAAGCAAGCCCGTGAGCAGTGAATATGCCCAGATTTTAAAATAATTTCTTAATAAAATCAAATTTTGGTCTTTTGAAAAAAAATTTACTATAGAAATGTTTATTAATAAATTGCCTATCCATTGGTGTAAATCGCAAAATAAAATAATACTTACTTTACGAGGAGATCCATGTTATCAATAATAATTTCACATTTATGTGGTTTCGTTGTAAGGAGATTATATTAATATTTATTCGTTTAAAAAAAAATTGGATATAGCTTTTATGGAATCAAGATTATGTAGAAATATAATGTGTTTTTTATTTGTTGATATATCTTATAAATAAAAAGTAGATAGCTTCTAAAAACCGCCCAAATAACGACTAGCTCGACATTTTGCTCAACCTGCGCCTTAACAACGGAAGATTTGCCCGTCTGATAACCCGATCTTTTTTAAGAAGATTTCAAGCTTGTATTGCAGCCGAAGGAAAGCAATTTGAACACCTTTTGTAAAAAATCAAAAATTGTTGTTTAATTTTTAAACTTAAGGAAAATTTATCCTAAATTTAAGAAAAAGTATAACTCGAATGCGTCACTCTCTGTCTTACTCACGCTTCATGGATTGATTCTTCCTCTCACTCAAAATACAATCTTATGTTACTCTCATGGCAAGCTTTGGTTACACTAAAATCATTTTTAGTAGATAAAAAGATTTTTTTTTTAAAGTGGGATTCTTGAAGAAAAATTTTTCCTCTGTAATCTAGGAAATAATGTAGTAAGTGCTATACCATTTTAGAATCCTTATTAAATGCGTCAACTTTTAAGTTTACTTGCTAAACTGGCGTAGTATATTTTTGTTTCAGTACAGTCAGTTAAAGTTGAGCGAAGTATTAATTTTTCATTCTTGGTTCGGATAAATGTGACATTTTCTTCTAAGTTGGAGCAGTTAGGTAAGAATTAAAAACAACAGGTTACACAAGCACTACCCAAGATTACACAAAAAAAAATCGAAAAAAAGTAAAGATTTGTAGCTAAAGGAGCTAAAAATCATCACAGGCTATAAATTTTTCAAAAAAAAGGAATTACTGTAATTTAAAAATTACATGACTAAGATTTTTTTTTATATTTTTCTGGTAACTATTATGATTTGTCCTATCACCCGATTCCGGCTTGACGTCGACTTTTGGGACAACCTGTATAAATAATTATATACCGTTAATGCAGTTTTACAAAACAGCAAATAAGACTTCTACTTTTATTTGAAATTATCTCAAATTGAATGTGATTTATGGGCAACAACTATGCGAATCCTAAAAACCTGCATAAAGTTTAGGGATTAACACGTGTTTTTATGAGTTTTTTGTTAGTCTTTGAGTTATTTTACAGAGTAGTACAAAAATCACAACATAATATAAATAATACTAAATATATATGTATATGTCAGTAGTTATTACAAATGTAAACAAAATATTTTTTGTTTTTGTAAAATCTACTGATAAAATAAAAGCATTAAAACTGATATGACTTTTTTGCTGACCCTCCTACTTAAAATTCAACTACAAATCACTAATTATTTTATTATTATTTCCAGGTAGCTTTAAACTAATTGTACATCATCGCAGGGACACGCAAATTCCACAATTAGTAATATTTAGTAAGTGCCTTATCTGAACATATTATAATTGTCATATATTTTGTATAAAGTTAAGTAGTTAGTGTAATGTACAAGAAATGTAGTCAATGTTATGTTTAATAATAATTGTATTCAATTTATTTAATACCGGAAATTTCGATATTGCTAAGTCTAGTTTACGAGACGGCCAGGTCTCTTAACAAGTACAAACTTGATTGCCGAAATTGTATTGAGCTTTCCGCAATTTAACTATGTAGAAATATATGTCCTTGTGAATTGAAATTAGACTCGTTGTAATTTGAAAATCGATGATACAAAAAGCAACACCAAAAAGAGACAAGCATATACATCTATAGGATTTAGTCTGTGAGAGAATGAGATAGAATATACAGTGTTTTTTTGTCTCTGGTTCTCTTCTTTCTGTGTTGCTTTGTAGCCTTCCCACTTGTCTACTTTTTGAAGGTTACATTTCTACCGCGTGTGTACTGCACACATGTTTCTTTGTGTGTTTTGTCAAAATGTCAGCGTACCGCAAATGGTCCGTATTGTGTGGAAATGATCCAACCCACAAACTGTCCAATTAATAATCCAGAAACTCTTTTTTCAGTTTATTTCCAAGTATAAAAGACTTAAAAAATAACAATTCTAAAATTTACATTACATTATTTATTCAATGATATACATAACATCATATATTGGTCTCCTGCCACAAGAAAGATATCATTCAAATCTGAATAACTATGTTTGGTACATTAAATATAGTAACCGCAGTCGGAGGACCCAAAAAAACCAAATTATTTTAATAAATTGAATGAAAATTAATTTTATAATTAAACTTAGTGGCTTAGCAATGAGTTGCGGCACCGAGGACCGCGGGTTCGTATCCCACACGGAAAAAGTGTTTGTATGACCTACAAAGGCCCATGATACAGGAAAAAATCCTAGGGTCAAGGGTAACGTTATTTTAAAAATAAAAAATTACATAACACAGATAACTAAATATGTTTAAGTTCAAAATTATTTAAAGTGCGTAAAGCCCATTGTCATACTTGGCAGGCTTATTGGCATTTACATTGTTACTTATGTACGCGTCTAACTCTTTAGCTACGATTTTGATGGTTGAGTCAGTATTAAAGATGTTTATTCTGATCCTTTTTCCTGCTTATGGAAATGGCATGACAGGATGACAACGC